TATATTAAATAAACATATATAATACAAAAACGGTTTCAGAAAAGAGGGAAGAAAATGAAAAAAAAAAAAGTGAAATCCGTTTTCAGAAAACAAAAAACGAAAACGAGAAAATAAAAATACCTTTTTTTCGTTTTCTGATTTCCACAAAAAGACAAAAACAATTTTGATTTTGTTTTTTAAAAAAATTTACACTAAACACGTTTTTAACACTCATTTTCATTTTTTTATTTTAAAAACTGTAAAAAATGAAAATAAAAACACAAACAAAGGCCATAAGGGCATATTCATTGATGAGAATAAAAGAGGGATACAGGAAATATGCGACCCGCCAAATCTGAAAGCAAAGAAAAGGCCCACAAAAACCGCAAAACCAAACCAAAATATCTTCTTCTCTTCCTATTGAAACTCCACGCTGTCACCTTTGTCCTTAGATATTTTGTCCACAAAATATCAACTCGACACGTTTGCCCACTTCACCCACGTGGACTTCACTCCTTACTTTTGCCCCATTTTTCCTTTTAAACTACCAAACTGCCATTGTCTTAATCTTTTTCTGACACTCACTAATAAAAGATAAATTTCACTAGTGAAGTCCGTCTTTTATTAAACTTTAACTCGTTTATTTCACCGATTTAAATTTAAAATTTGAGTTTTACTACAGTAAAAAACTTTTAAAATCAGTCACATCTAATTTTTTTATTACAGTAAAAAGTTTTTACATAAAATCACATGTTAACTCAAATTAAAAACTCAAATCAGCGAACTGAACGGGCCCTTAATACCTGTAGTGTTTTTAAACATTTTTTTTTGCTTGAAGAAAGTTTAATATAAAAAAGCAAAAAAAAAAAAATCATATATTATAAGTGTATTAAAAAGTTTCTATTATCAATAAGGCTTAAAAAAAAGGAAAAAAAGAGAGAAATAGGTTAAGACTTGAGATGAATTAAAATTAATAAGCTAATAGTTTACATAAATTAATAAATAGGTCAAATTACTGTTTACGTCCATAACTTATTTGGTTATGAACCATAACTTGATAAATTATTGTCCATAACTTGTCTGACTATGAATCATAACTTGACAAGTTTGTTCATAACTTATCTGGTTGTAAACCATAACTTGACAAGTTATGATTTATTAATTTTTATAACTAAAAGTTAACCTATATACTTTTTTAAGTTTTTCATATTGACATATTTTTTTACTATTTTCGAAAAAAAAAGAAGAAAAAAAACCTTGACAATATAACTTATTTTGGAATTTAAATCCTACAAAGATGGATTTACACGATAAATTATACTTATAATTATTATACTCTTATTATTTAGACAACGACATTATCAGTCTTTCTCGTCGACTAACATAATTGAAAATCTTGAGAAAATCATGCCACTCTATATGCAATATAAATGGTAGGCCACATTAAGCAGATTCAAAGAATAAACTTCCAACTTGAAGAGTTGTAAAATTTACTGTTGATTCGGAAATTACAAAAAACAAATACTTACTTGCAAGATACTTAAAATTTCTTTTTTAATGTAATGCATTGTTAAGTTACATTATGCCTTTTGTTTTAAAAAGTGCAAATAAATATGAGAAGTTGTCATCATATTTACCTCATTCGTTTCGCTGATTCGAGTTTAGAATTTGAGTTTTATTACAGTAAAAAACTCTCACAAACAATCACATCTAACTTTTTTACTACAGTAAAAAATTTTCATATATAATCACATCTCAACTCAAATTTTAAACTCAAATCATCAAAACGAACGAGGCCAATAAACAGGAAAAGTTTTCATCACTTGAGCAGCATCTTCAAAAATTTTCATAAAAGAGAGAAAAAAAAAACATGTTAATAGAGGGCACTTTGACAATTTGAGGAGCTAAATGGGGGCAGTTCCGTCTGTGAGCTTTGACTATATATATAAAAATCTAGACTTCAACCGACCTCCACTTAGCATTTCCTGTTAGGGGAGAGAGAGAGAGAGAGAGAGAGATATATATATTTCACCAAAATATCTCCACCGGCCATGGCGAAGAAAAGTGGAGGAGGAGGAGAAGAAGAAGAAGAAGGAGAGAGCTCAGGGAAGAGGATGAAATTGGCCAAGGAAGAAGAGCCACAAAACGGCGATGTCGAAGAAGAAGAGCTTCTCAGCGATAGCGAGCTTCCATTGAAGTCCGGCTTCTTGTTCTACCCTATGACTCCCACTTCCTTCGTCGTCTCCGATGCCCTAGACCCCGATTTCCCCGTTATCTACGTTAACAAAGTCTTCGAGATCTTCACCGGCTACCGCGCCGACGAGGTCCTCGGCCGAAACTGGTACCGATTGTCTCAACCCTTTCCTTCCTTCATATGTTTGTTTCCTGAGAAAATAGCGACGAAAAGTGTTGGAAATCTTGTTTCTTTTTGGTTTTAATGTACTGTGGCTTTTATGTTTATGTTGTGTTTTGTTGGCTGTGGATGATGTTTTTGTTTTGTTTCCTTTTTTATGAAACTGGAACTGATTGTAGCAATTTTGGATTTTTAGGAACAAATGCTCTTTTTTGAAATAATCTAAACTGCGTCTACTGTGATTCATTTTATTGAGACCCATTTGTAAATTTTTTACATTTTCTTTTGTCTAAACGATCTTACTGTTGCGTTTGGTAATCTGGTATTTGATTGTGCAGCATATGGAGGATAAAAGGATCAAAATTTCTTAAGATATTAAATGAAAAGGCCGATCCAAGTTTAGAAATTCTATAGCTTTTTTATGTTCTTGTTTTGAAGTTTGAAACAAAAGCCCCTTTTATACAGTTGGGGGTAAGAAATTTGTTGATCCATTACAATGCTTTAACTTTCCTCTGATTTGAGCGTTTCTATTTTGATGGAGGAAAGTATATGAAGCGAGAAATCTGTATCCCGTGATTACTTATTAAAAAAAAATAGAGAAAAAGAAATCCTCTTTTCTACTGCCGATTTCTTATAATCTTAATTTCAGATGAAGACTTATGTCATGCCGTGGCTGATTCTGTTTTTCATTGTTTTTACTTTTTTTTGGTCAGTTCAATCTATATGGGCTGAGGCACTGTGTTTTTGCATATACTTTCTTTAGTCCTGGCCCTTTTTCTTTTTTTTTTTTCAATTTAGTAAACAAGGGCACGAGACAAATGAACATTTGGAGGGTCCTCTGCAAAAATATCATGCAAAGATATTGTACGTAGGTTGATATCTTTGTTCTATCGGAGAAGGATTATATGTGTGTTCGAAAGAGTATTTGTTTTGTCTTTCAGATTGATTAATGCTTTGTTTTCTATTCTTGAGCTTATTTCATATATATATATATATATATATATATATATATATATTACTAGTTGTAAGGTACATATGTCTGCTCTATGACCTTCACATTGTGCTACAAGATGTTTCATTAACCCCCTAAAATAAATATTTTCTTTCAGTCGGTTCTTACAATATAGAGACCCTCGGGCTCAAAGACGGCACCCTTTGGTTGACCCCGTTGTTGTTTCTGAGATTAGAAGATGTCTTGAAGAAGGAGTTGAATTCCAGGGGGAGCTTCTTAATTTCAGGAAAGATGGTACGCCCTTGGTTAATATGCTAAGACTTGCACCCATACATGATGATGATGGAATCATGACACATGTTATCGGTATTCAAGTATTTTCTGAAGCAAAAATCGATCTGAATTGCCTATCATATCCGGTTTTCAAAGAGACTTGCAGTCAGCAATTTGACCAGTCAGGGAAGTATCCTTATATTAGTGGACAATCACCAGCCAACCAGCAACAACAAATATGTGGCATTCTTCAGCTTTCAGATGAAGTCTTGGCTCACAACATCTTGTCGCGTTTGACACCAAGGGATGTTGCATCCATTGGTTCTGTCTGCCGAAGGATCCGTCAGCTCACAAAAAATGAGCATGTGAGGAAGATGGTTTGTCAAAATGCGTGGGGAAGAGAAGTCACCGGCACACTGGAATTGATGACTAAAAAATTAGGATGGGGGCGTCTAGCTAGGGAATTAACAACTCTTGAGGCTGTTTGTTGGAGAAAATTTACAGTTGGAGGTGCAGTGGAGCCTTCACGATGTAACTTCAGTGCTTGTGCTGCTGGCAATCGACTTGTATTGTTTGGAGGTGAAGGAGTTAATATGCAGCCAATGGATGACACATTTGTTCTAAATCTTGATGCTGCAAATCCTGAATGGCGTCGAGTTAGTGTGGAATCATCCCCACCAGGGCGCTGGGGTCACACTCTTTCATGTTTAAATGGTTCTTGGTTGGTAGTTTTTGGAGGATGTGGGCGGCAAGGATTGCTCAATGATGTCTTCGTTCTTGACTTGGATGCCAAACAACCAACATGGAAAGAAGTTTCTGGCGGAACTCCCCCTCTCCCTAGATCCTGGCACAGTTCTTGCACAATCGAGGGTTCGAAATTGGTTGTTTCAGGTGGATGCACAGATGCCGGAGTACTTCTCAGTGATACATTCTTGTTGGATCTCACGACAGACAAGCCAACATGGAGAGAAATTCCAACATCATGGGCTCCACCCTCTAGGTTGGGGCATTCACTTTCAGTTTATGGCCGCACAAAGATTCTCATGTTTGGCGGGCTCGCAAAAAGTGGCCACCTGCGGCTGCGGTCAGGAGAGGCTTACACCATTGATTTAGAAGATGAAGAACCCCGCTGGAGGCAACTTGAGTGTAGTGCGTTCAACAGTGTTGGGAGCCAGAGTGCTGTGGTTCCTCCTCCTAGACTTGATCACGTTGCTGTCAGCATGCCTTGTGGAAGGATCATCATCTTTGGCGGATCGATTGCCGGGCTGCACTCTCCTTCCCAGCTCTTTCTATTGGACCCGTCTGAAGAGAAACCATCATGGAGGATTCTGAATGTTCCCGGGCAACCGCCTAAATTTGCTTGGGGTCACAGCACTTGCGTGGTTGGGGGTACTAGAGTCCTCGTATTGGGCGGCCACACCGGTGAGGAGTGGATACTCAACGAATTGCACGAGTTGTGTTTAGCAAGCAGGCAGGACTCGGACTTCTGATATGATAATGAGATGGCCAAGCTGCAGTACCACATACTTCCACACCAGCCACTCTGGAAGAAAATTTTGTTTTCATGATCCGTTCTAGTTCCTGCTGCATTTGTGATTTGCTTTTATATTGCATTATGTGCGTGAGTTTTCTGATGTGTTGTGGTCATATTTAGGTCTGTATTATATTGTAAAAAGTTTTAACACCTTTGTGCCTATTTTGACGTTTGTACATTATGAGCATAGGATATTAAACCTATATGTAATGTTAGCGACTCTTTTGCCCCTGGCACCTTTCTTCCCACACAGTCTTTTTGTTCATCTTTATCAGTTTCCTAAGAAATTCACGAAGGCAATACAAATGACTTTTATGGTTTCCTGGCAGAAGGCCATTGCGCCGAGCAGCTGAGAAGGTTCAGTCTTTCAAGGAAATTCCGGTCAAAATAAAGATGCACAGAATTGGAGTGAGTCACATTCTCATAAGAGCTACATTTTCTCAACAGCAGACGATGTGGTTCCTTAATAAATGTAGTCTTTCGTCTCTTTTTTCTGGGGTGCCTTGCAGTAACTGATATATAGCATATCTTGTATTGTTCTTCTAATCCGTCCTTTCAGGGTAGAAAGCTTCTTGCTTGCTGTAGATTTTAGTTCGTAACTTAACCAAAATTGGGTTTTTGTTTTGGTTTTTGTTTTTGTTTTTGTTTTTAAACAACCCATCTGAAGCTGATCTATGTCCTACGACGGCCTCTCAAGTGAATAATGTTTAGTATTATATTATCTGCTTTTGTGAGTTACTTGTCCAATTACTCGCTCTTTTTTTTATTTATTTTTTAAAATTTTTGGTAGCACGTCCAATTTACTTGCTTTTCTTAAAAAAAAAAAAAAAATTGCTTGAAACTAGTCATGTCTATTTTAAAATCAATAATTAAGATCTTGATTATTATTGTTAGAATGTGAATCTAGTTTGGGCCCATCACTGATCCCAACCTCACATGCATGCAATGTAGAAGTGACCAAAAAGGTTGAAACAAGAAACCCAAAACCGCGTTAGTGCACGAATGTTTGAAAAAGAAAAAAAATTGTTAAAAACAACATAAGAAAAAAAAAAGGTAAAACGCTGATTAAAGTGATACGTTGGAAAATTAACATTGATTTAAGGACAAGCTTTTGTTTACCGTTTCTGCATTAGGTATAAGGAAACAATAAATATTTGGCATTTACGGCGAAACATAGTCAAGTCCAAACGCGAAGCGGCAGAGCCAAGATCGATTAGTTTCTAATATCATTATTTATACGTAAGATTTTCAAATGAATTCTCCTTTTTCCTGTCATTTTGCCCTCTATATTGAATTTTTATTTCAAAATTTGCATATAAAAATTGTCTAAATATTTCAATGACGCCTTACTTAATAATAAAAATGTGTATACATACTGTAACTACATCGATAAAAAATATTGTATATATATCTCTTACTTTGAGGGATGACGTGTCTCCAGAGAAAAAAGTTCGTCACTTTTCATGATATAAATATGGGAAATAGTAAAAAATATGTCAATATGAAAAGCTTAAAAAAGTATATAGGCTAATTTTTAGTCATAGAAATTAATAGGCTATAACTTGTCAAGTTATGGTTCATAATCAGATAAGTTATTGACAAACTTGTCAAGTTATGGTTTATAACTAGATAAGTTATGAACAAAAACTGTGAATTATGGACAATAACTTGTCAAGTTATGGTTCATAACCAAACAAGTTATGGACGAAAACAGTAATTTGGCCTATTTATTAACTTATGTAAACTATTGGCCTATTAATTTTAATTCATCTTAAGTCTTGGCCTATTTCCTTCTTTCTCCTTATAAATATATTGGTGAATATCTGCATATTCTTTGGGCCCGTTTAATTCGTTGATTCGAATTTTTAATTCGAATTGAGATGTAATTTTATGTGAGAACTTTTCATTATAGTAAAAAAATTAAATGTGATTGTTTCTGAGAACTTTTTAATGTAACAAAACTTAAATTCTAAACTCAAATTGGTGAAATAAATGAGACTTTTGTTTTATCTTTACTAACATTTTTTTTGGGTATTTACATTAAGGTCGCAGATTTTCTCTTTCATTTATCACGAGATTGCTCGTGTTTCAACTTGTGGACAAAATGAGTAAATCAGCCACAACTTATTGTTGAGCTTTTTACAACATCTATTAGCAAGCTGGTTTGTGATTCATACCAAATAAACGCGCAAACTATAACCTCTTTTTTTTTTTTTTCTTTCTAATGATGAGTCTAATATCTTAAATTTTGGATTTGGAATCTGCATGTGTGCATGTGAAAATGGAGTGGCCAATCTGCATGACTTGCAAGACATATATGAGGACCCACACGCAAGGGATAAATTCATTTTTTGACAAAAAAGTTTTCCAAACAGCCAATTGATCTGAAATGTGGGTCAAGACAACAATGTGCTTTCCTTTTTGTCAATCCCAAATGATAAAAAAAAAAAAGAACACAAAATTTGTACCTAAAAAGAGGGTCCTCAATGACCCTACCATCATCTTCTTTGTGTCCAATCCTGCTTATAATTTGAAGAAAAAAAGGCTGTGTTCTACGCGCCTCTTTCTCTGACAATTAGTTGTAACTTGTAATATTGAAGGGGGAAAAAAAAAAGAAAATCAAGAAAGAGATGAGAGATGCACGTAGACACATCATAACGTGGCATGAGATCTTCTCTCAAAATTAGTCACCCATGCTTGAAGGTCCTTTCTCGGTCTATTGATTGTGCGGCGTTAAGCTTGCGGTGGTGTGAGTGAAATAGAACGCATCTTTTAAGTATAATTAAGTCATTTTTACTTTCTCTTCTACTTGATGTGCCTATGAATTTTTGCTATTAACGAAAGGACCAAGAGACTATGGTCCCTTTTTTAACTAGAAAAAAAGTGACATAAGAAAAGTAAAAAAGATTTGTATACAAGGCGATAAGAATATTTTTGTAGTTGTACTAGATAATTGTTAGGAGACCCACATTAACTAATTGCAATAATAAACAGTCATAATCACTTGTACGTGGTTATTTAGGTTTTTTTTTTTAAGTTTTAAAATGGGAAAGCAGTTAGTTGATAACGAACGGATTTAATTTACTTCAAGACTTCTTAAAAAAAAAAAAAAAAGCTTACGTCAAGACCCTTTTTTTTAAAGATATTTCTTGGCAACTTTAACTTGTATGTTTGTCTGTTTTTCTTGGTTTATTCAGTTACTCAATGTAATGAAAGAGAAATCTTCATCTTTTCAAAAAAAAAAAAAAAAAAAAAGAGAGAGAAATATTCACCTTAGTATCAGGAAATTGACTTGAATACGCCGAAAGAAAAATGCATGAAATTTTTTTGGTCTTTGTCTCGAGGAATTTGTCCTATATAGTTTGAGAAATACGTTTTAGTTGTGCCCACTGCCCACGCATGCATTCTCTTTGTCCCATTCCCATATAATTCTAATATTCTCTCTCTCCTTTTTTTCCCCTTTATAGTCTATATTGAATTCTTCACAGAACTAGAAGCCAAGTTCATGTGAGATAAATGAAAAAAGTAATCATGGCACTTGTATAGGTTATGCTTTATTAATTAATGACCATGTATAATCTATACACATAACCCATCATTTTTGTTCTCTTTCAACAGTAAAAAGCATATATCTAACGAGAGGAAAAAAAGAAGTACTTTACGGGCCCGTTTACTTCACTGATTCGAGTTTGTAATTCGAGTTGAGATGTGATTTTGTGTGAGAGCTTTTTACTGTAGCAAAAAAGTTAGATGTGATTGTTTCTGAGAGCTTTTTACTGTAACAAAACTCGAATTCTAAACTCGAATCGGCGAAATGAACGGGGCCTACATAAATAAGATGACTTTATTCATTTCTAAAACTAGACTTTTCTTTCTAAGAAGATCTTTTAACATTAAAGTAGTGGCTCTAGAATTTGGATCTTACCATTGAATCCTATATATATAGAGATACATACATATAAACTAAACAATGACTTTTGATTTTGTGACATGATAAGCTATATATTTTACCAAAATGTTCTTCTAACTATATATACATATATGTTAAGATAAAGCATGAATCAGAATTTCACATTATATAATATATATATCTACACAATTCCAGGAAAAGAACAAAATAAAAAATGGGTTAAGGTATTAGTATCTTACCTAAAGGATCAATCAAGATATGTAGTAGATTAGATTGACAAAATTATCTTAAAATTTTGGCTTATAATATGAAATGACAACCCAAAATCTCGTAAGACATATTCAACGTTAGAAAAGCATACACGTTGTTCAGTTCCTTCATTCCACAAGGTATGTGTGCTCATGATTAATGTAAAAAAAAAAACATGCAAACTCTAAAACCGTAATTGAAACTGTGGGCTCCCTAGGGTTCAAATTAGATGTATACAACAGCTTAGGTCTGAGGATGAAATCAATTTGTGACCTTTACATGCATTTGAAAACATTTAAAAATTAAAAAAACCGTCAAAATTTTACATTTAAAATATGAATTAAAAAAAAGTTCTTAAAATATTTTTGTAAAATTTTCAAAATTTTTTGTTTCTAATTAATTAATCGAAAAGGCAGAAGGGACATTTTATGATTTAATTAATTTTTTGAAAGCATAATGCAGGACATTCTTGTTCTCCAGCAACGACTGCAACAAAAGCATGAGCAAGAACAACAGAAGCAGGAAGAAACTGAGGACCAGCAAGCAAAAGAGAGCCACTTTGTTGACCAACGTTTTCCTAATTGTTTTGACACTGACCATGGAAATGGAAGCATCCTAATTGAGTCTGAGAAAGACGGTAGGGACTCGGACCTGGCACCGGGCGCGGAGAAGCTGGTGGCGGGAAAGGCGCTGCCGGAGAAAGGGAAGCTGCTGCAGGCAGTGATGGAAGCAGGGCCACTCCTGCAGACTCTTCTCCTGGCTGGACCTCTCCCTCAGTGGCAGCACCCGCCTCCTCGTGTCGACACCATAGAGATCCCTCCGGTGGCCATTTCTCGCACTCCGCCGCTGACCTTTCTTCACCATGACTCTTGTTTTAGTCACAAGAGAAGCCTACCACACTCTGATCATGATTATGTTTTTAACTCCAACACAAAGTACCAGAGGATTCTCTACCAAGGCTGTAGTTCTTTTTATTTTCTATCTTTTAACCTAAATTTCATGTCAGCCAATTCCTTTCATACTGTAAAACGTCCAAAGGATTCAGCATGAAGTGGATTGCATTTTTTTTGTGTTTTTTGTTTTTTGGGGGTATCAGTTTAGAATTTAGACTGCTTTATCTTGAAGATCAAGATCCTAACTTGTGTAACTTGTTAGCTGAAAGACTGAAATTGTCTTTTCCAGCATATTGTAGCTGCCATTGTGAATATGAGGTAAAATATGTTAAGAATTAGATTCTGTAATTCTATGTTGTCGAGATTTTTGACTGAAGAAAAGGGAAAAAAATAAATAAAAACACGCAAGGGTCAGTGTTTCAACTTAAATATGAGTGCTATACTTTCTTTCAGCTGCTACAAAAATTAATAATGATTAAGAAGAAGATTATAAGCAAAATCACACACCTCTCAAACTCACTGTATTTCTTCTAATAGCGCATCTCCATTGATTTATTATAAATCCATGAGTTGTCTTTTCGTCGTTACAATAATTAGGCTCCACACAACTTAGAAAAAGTTGTATAAATTCTCCTGATTATTAGTTGGGAATTTGTTATGGATTTACAAATATAAAGTATCTATGCACTTTGGCTTAAAAGCCTGATAGTTGTGCTGATCACGCAATGTCTTCTTGTTAGCTTTTTCTTTTTCTTAAAGTAGTACATGTAATGATATTGAGTATGACATTGGCTGGACATTAAATATCTTCCCATAAATTTTCTTTGTCATGAAGCTAGAGTTTTAGGTACCACATTCGTGGCTAATAAGTGTCTGTCATTTACTGTGCATATACTCAAGACATTTGATTTATGAATTCATAATTATGAATCAGAATTATTCTTATTTTTTGTGTATTTTTTGTGAGAGAAAATATTATAACGAGCCACGAATTATGATTTAAATTATGTCATGAATCTCTCTTTCAAATGCACGCTTATTTTCATTTTGCAATAGTTAATAAGAATCTTAAAACACACAAAAATCAAATGTATACCAAATGACAAAAACTGGACGAATGGAATTCTCTCCACATGACCAAGACTGTGAGTCAATCAAGTAAAAGGGATTATGGTAGTTGCTTTCTTTGAACCAATACTGAGAGATAAAAGTGTATACCACATGACATGCTTAATAAGCGCAAAAAATATACCAATAGGGCCCTACACTATTTGTGTGCTCAATTTTTCTTGTAAGCATCTTTGTCATTTCTGACTATCTTTATTTATCTATTCTTTTACTTTTTTATAGTCGTCTGAATTTTCATTCTGATACATATGCATGTACACATAAATACATAAATGTATATACATACATATGCATGCATGTATGTTTGTATATATGCTAGAGTGACATACAAATATATATATATGCTAGAGAATTCTAGTTAATTATGTGCTGAGCAGGAACAAGTGTAATCTTCCAGACAAGTTCCGCAAAAAATGTACTAAACCAACTGTTAGGGACCAAAATAAAGTAGGAATCAGACACTAATTGTCCAAGCTAAAGACAATTCAGAATCAGACACGTTACATTCTAACGAAACAAATGTACCAAAATAGTTGCAGGCTTAGCCTAACAATAGTTAATTTTAAACCTACATACTTTTAATGTCAAGGTCATATAGAGTTCTAAGAGAAATGATCTAAAAAAATGCTGTCCAAAATAATAAAACTACAACATAACAGGTAACAAGTGATCAAAACAAGAATAAACACATATGTTAAAATTTGGAATTAAGACAATTATACACCAAGAGTTCCAGTCAAAACTCTCAAGTCTCAACGGAGAATAAGTGTCTGCCATTTACTGTGTAAGACGTTTGATTTATGAATTCATAATTATGATTCAGAATTATTCTTATTTTTCGTGTATTTTTTGTGAGAAAAAATATTATAACGAGCCACGAATTATGATTCAAATCATGTCATGAATCTCTCTTTCAAATGCACGCTTATTTTCATTTTGCAATAGTTAATAAGAATCTTAAAACACACAAAAATCAAATGTATACCAAATGACAAAAACTGGACGAATGGAATTCTCTCCACATGACCAAGACTGTGAGTCAATCAAGTAAAAGGGATTATGGTAGTTGCTTTCTTTGAACCAATACTGAGAGATAAAAGTGTATACCACATGACATGCTTAATAAGCGCAAAAAATATACCAATAGGGCCCTACACTATTTGTGTGCTCAATTTTTCTTGTAAGCATCTTTGTCATTTCTGACTATCTTTATTTATCTATTCTTTTACTTTTTTATAGTCGTCTGAATTTTCATTCTGATACATATGCATGTACACATAAATACATAAATGTATATACATACATATGCATGCATGTATGTTTGTATATATGCTAGAGTGACATACAAATATATATATGCTAGAGTGAATTCTAGTTAATTATGTGCTGAGCAGGAACAAGTGTAATCTTCCAGACAAGTTCCGCAAAAAATGTACTAAACCAACTGTTAGGGACCAAAATAAAGTAGGAATCAGACACTAATTGTCCAAGCTAAAGACAATTCAGAATCAGACACGTTACATTCTAACGAAATAAATGTACTAAAATAGTTGCAGGCTTAGCCTAACAGTAGCTAATTTTAAACCTACATACTTTTAATGTCAAGGTCATATAGAGTTCTAAGAGAAATTATCTAAAAAAATGCTGTCCAAAATAATAAAACTACAACATAACAGGTAACAAGTGATCAAAACAAGAATAAACACATATGTTAAAATTTGGAATTAAGACAATTATACACCAAGAGTTCCAGTCAAAACTCTCAAGTCTCAACGGAGAATCAGATTCAAGAACAAAACCAGTAAACTGAAAAAATGCAGAATCAAGATTCTGAATGCACCTTAGAAGATTATAGCATTCAGAAAAATCAACTTTACAATCAGTTCGTTTCGAGAGCTCTCTTCTCGAATCCCAGAACCCCAATTACACCATTTCAATTCTGTTTCAAATGTTTACAGAAGTGCAATCTATACTTGTTTTATGAGACTGTATTCATTGCAAATTTTTTCCAACAGATCTGCTATCTTGAATATGAGATGAAGGGAATGTGGCGCACCTTGTAGAAATCTTTCCCTTCAACTCCTTCATTGACTCTAACATTGTCTTCAAAATCTCTCCACATTGCAACCACATGCAATTCGCAGAGAGTGGAGACATATTTTAGACCCTCGGGAATCGCCTTCAGTGTTTGCAAACCAATCATATTCAATCTCCTGAGATTCGGCGTTGCACCTTCCTCCACTTCCCACTCCTCTAATCTGTATAAGCTTCTGAGTGTTAGAACCTCGAGCTTGGGAAATCCATTGGCAGAACACACCAATTTATACACACTATTTCTGCTAGTCTCATCCACCAGGTCATTATCCAACCGGAGAATTCTTAAGTTCGGCAGCTTTTCCAAAACCGCAAACTCCTGATTTAAATCCCGAAAGAACCTCAAATTAATTTTGGTTAGGCTTTTTGGCAAAATTGAAAGAGCTTCTCATGATAACTCTCCTTCTAAACTTAGTTTGCTCAGAACATGGCATTGAGAAAGCAATTCCAGATTTGGAAATTCGCCTTTGGACATGTGCATCCTCAAGGATTGCAGGTGGCCTAGTTGAAAGCCGAGTGACTAAAGGACCAGCTTACTTCTTTATCACTACGGAATGAACCTACTTCAAGATTCCGAATGTTAGTCAGTTTACACACTGGGCCATAACTGACCAAATCCTTTGCATTTATGCCTTTCAAAGTCTCAATGTTTGTTAGGCTATCATTTCCAAAGGGATTATTGGTTACTAGAGAAGTGCATGAATAACGCCAAGGCAATAACAAAATTTTCAAATGGACAAGCCTCGATAATGTCCTTGGTAGAAACATGGTGCCGTTCTCATTACCTCGAAGAAATTTTGCAAGTTGCCTATAGAGCGGGGCAATTTTGATTCATCACTAGCCCCGCTTAACCTCAAATATCTCAAGTGAATTAAATTACCGATTCCTCTCAAAGATTTATTAGTCGGAAATTTAGTCCAATTAAAATCAAGTTTCAATACTCTTAACAGTATGAAATTTTTGGTTACAGATACTATGGGTAGAGTATCAATACCAAAGCATAGAAGAGAGCGGATATTGGGACCTACTTGTTCCATCCAATTAGGTGTGTGGTGATGAAGATCGTGGTCGTTAACATGAATAGCAATCCTGCGAAAACGAGTCACTGGATGAAACTGAACTGAAGAAGAACCAGCCGTCATCATGTTCACATTGTGCTTCTGCATAATGTCTAGGAAATTCTCTGCCTTCGCCTTAGAAATACAAAAATCTCGCATAAGATCATGTAATCGGCATGTTTTGACACCTTTTCCTGTATGGTCCCTTTTGTCCACCTGAACCATGCATCTATCAACCAATTCTCCCAAGTATTGTTCAGCCACATTTTCTATTAATTCCCCTCCTATATCTTCTCTTTCCATTGTTGATATAAAGCCTTCTGCCATCCATAGTCGAATCAACATGCTTTTGGGTATCTTACTATCTTCTGGAAAGCTTCCTAAATAAAGGAAACATGGTTTCAAGTAGTAAGGCAAATCTTGGAAGCTCAAGTCCAAGATATCGTCTACTCGGTATTGTTGTTCCGATTTGAGCTTGTTGATGTGTGATTTTGCATCTTTTTGCACCTTTTCCCATGCATGCACCGAATGAAGTTTTATTTCTCAATAAGCCTCCAAGAACTACAATTGCAAGAGGCAGTCCTCCACAATTTTGAATAATTTCCTTTCCTATCACTTCGAATTGCGGTGGACAAGCATGCTTCCCAAATGTTTCTCTTTGAAAGGCTTTTCGCTTAAGAAGCTCCCAGCTCTCCGCAGGCGTCAAAAGTGGAGGTTGAATTTGAGAACTGTTGTTGGGACCAACAGAAAATGCTACTTCCTTGATGCGCGTTGTAAAGACGACTTTGCTCCCCGTTTTTCCCGTCAGGAAAGCACCTTGAATACTATACCAAGCTTGAATATGCCAAATGTCGGCGAGAATAATAAGATACCTCTTCTCTTTAACTCATCCTTCATCAAATCAATTAACTCATGGTCTTCAAAGCCTCTCAAAGCGTCTCGTTTGTTCTTCCTTTCTTGTAAAATCTCTCTTTTGCAGCTCCCTTTTGGTTGAAACCCAACTCAGACAAAATATCCTTTGGAACAAATTGTTGGGATACAAAAACCCAAGCACGACAATCAAAATGCTTCTTTAAATCGATGTCGTTGTACGCCTTCTTGGCAAGAGTGGTCTTGCCTAACCCGCCCATCCCCACAATTGAAACAACGCAACACCGATCTTCCTCTTTCACCAGCTGAGCCTTCAAGGTAATAACATCATCACTGTGATTATCATCATCATCATCATCATCATCCGGATATGATCTTCTCAAATTCTTTAGAGCAGTAGTGTCAATCCCTTCTCCGCTGCTAAATTCGATTTGATACCTTTGCCTGCTTTCACCAATGCTTTGCAGCTTATTCTTGATGGAGGTGATTCGGGACCTAAGCTTTCGGAGATAATGAAGGCTTTCAAGTACGAGGAGTTGACTTTGAAGATATACGTCTCAATGGCATCTTCAATCTCACAAGCTACATCCTTAACTTCCGCGACCCAGTTACGAACACGCTCGTCTTGTTGTTGCTTGCTCTCGGCATCTTTCAAGAAGCACTCCACGTCGTCTTTCACGCTGCTCAAGGAAGTGGCTTCTCGAACGAGTAGATCGGTGATCGTTCGAACCGCCTGGGATACAACAGCCTGTGCCAATTTTGACGCCACAACTTCTGCCATTTAGTCCTCTCTCTCACACCACTTTGTTTTGATCACAATGCACAAGATTGGAATTTCTCATACTCTTCCATAACTTTCTCTGTCACGTAAGGCTAGCTAGCTTCGACGGTACTTATAATTTGGAAGTCACCATATACGACTGTGTTGGATGGATTGGTATCCCATTAAAGCTTTTTAATAAATTAAACAAATTGGGTGTAAGGAACTTTGACATCCTACCACGTTCTCTCTTTAACAAATTCAACTTTTGAGATAGTCAACGTTCTGCAATGTTTAGGAATTAAAAAAAAAATGATGACTTGTTTTTAGGCTAAGTAAGAAGAGGCTTGTTAACCCAAAAAAAAAAAAAAAAAAAAAAAATTTTTTTTTTTTTAAAAAAAAAAAAGACCAAGGCTATTTTATGGGTCAATCTACCGTGATGCTAGTTTGTTCTCCGTCATCAGTCTACTTAAAAAAAAAAAATGGACATTTATCTTTGCAATACTATATTTGACACAAAACTGTGTTAAAAAAAAGACGTTTTTGATGTATTCTATTTTTTTTACTTTAATGTACGATGGTATATATTAAATAATATATAATTACTTTCTATCACAATCTTTAAATTTTGGAATTATAGAAGAAACATTTTTAATAGTAATATTGTAATATTAATTAAAAGTGTTAATACATGATCAACCAATGACTAACAAAATTTAAAAATTTAGTTCCAAGTAAAATAAGATGCCGAATTCAGTACTAAATCTCCAATGCAAAACCAAATTCGATACTATATTTAGCACGAAAAGGTGTAAAATGATATACATGATATGTTGGTTTATTTTATGCTACATGCATAATGATATTTCAATACTATGTAATGACTTCTATTATAAATTTTAATCCTTGAAACTTGTGAAAGTAAAAAAAAAAAAAGCATTGAATCTAAGATTATTTTTTCTACTAAAATGCCAAAATTTAGTATTGATACATTAATTTAACATTATATAAAAGATATTTTAAGAATAAAGCATTTATATTAGACTATCTCTAATATAAATGCCAATAATGGTGTCATATATGTTACTAAAAAGAATGAACATGGCATGTTTGGTATGATATTCTATCATGTATTGTTGGTTTCGAAAACAACTTTTTATGCAGAAGTGTGTATCTAGCGGATTGTGTATAACTAAAATTTTAATATATCTTTAAGATACTTTACAGATTACATTAACTCATACACGAATAAATTAATTAAATTTATTTATTTACCTAGCGAACTAGGATATCAACACATGTATGACGTGAAATTTGGGAGAAAAATTTTCCTTTCCTTACTCTATATAAAATTCAGCCACACTATGCTAGGGATTGCAAAAATTTTGTTCTCCAATTTTCTCCAAACTCATATTTACAGAGTAGTAGTCAAACTCTTATAAGAAGTTTAAACTTTATCCTCAAGATATAGCCTCATTATTATCTCCCACTTCTACTTGATTTTAGAAACAAAATTCCCTCTCTCTTTTATCCCATAAGGGCTGGCAACCACAAGGAGATTCCTCCTTGTGGTAGGCACAAATATCAGGTAGGGAAGGAGGTAAAATTCTCCTTTATCTTGTAGTCCAATTTTGAGTCAAATTCAAATTTAAGCCACCTAATTTAATTTGAATTCTAATTGGACAACTTATTAAATAAGTCAATTAGATAACTTAGAGAGCAAGCAACCGAATTCCAAAGGGATTCACACTATGCTGGACATGTACACCATGTGAACACCTCCACATGTGTGTTCCAAAATTCAAATATAAATAATTATATTAATTACATTATTTAATTTATAATCAATTCTCAATTAATTATTTTTGAGTATTTTATTTAGAATTCCATAATTCTAAAATTTTTATTTTGCCCTTAGTGTCTTGTAGGATTACAAGAACAATGCGGGGACTCATGAACCTATAATTCCGAGCTCCAACAAAATTAATAATTAATTAAAACTCTTTAATTAATTAATTAATTTTATTAATTTCAAAAGTCACTCCACTATAAACTTGGAATTGCACTATCGTAATTATAGATATAAATTACTTATAAACTGTGAAGTGTCCATTTGATATAACCATGACATATAGATCAATCATCCATAAGTAATTCATAATTAGAGTTAGGCGAAATCCGTTAACCTCTTTAATTACATCTTGATCCTTGAGTACCATTGATTCTCTAATGGACAGTGATTTATAAAATAAATTCATGAATCAAAGCTCCTACTACTATAAGTACTTAATCAATCCTCAAGAGAGTTATTTATCAACATTTTTCTCAAGAAGGAATGAATTCCATCTTGTAGAATAACATTCCCGGCTACACACTTAATCATGTCTCAAAAATATAGGGAATATGATTTAACATCTCAGAATCCGTATCGAGTAAATCAAAAGAAACTTATCCATAAATAGGAGTCTGCTAATAACTCAGAATTTATATCTTTTTATATATGACCATCGATAGACTCAATTAGAATTTCTATATTTAACGAAAATGATCAGCAATTCATATTGTGGCCGTGTCCCAATTCTACACAATGTCATTATGTGTAATACACTAATTTAATATCTCGTTATATTAACAGTGCAGATAACACGTTCCATTCTAAGTGGGAATGACATATATTAGTAATATTTTAATTAAAGATTTTAAACTTTAATTAAATTCATTACTAACATCATTTTGATTAGTATCGTTAAATATTATCCTCTCGCATATAACACTTATATATAATATTTAAGGTCACGTAAATAATTATGAAATTTTCAATAATATCATAAAATATTCAATAATATATGCACATAAAATAATGAGTAAACTCTTTAATTAAATAAATATTAAATATCCTATTACATCTCATATTTTTAGGACACCATTTTCAACATGTATTGTATTGCGTAATGCAAGTTCAAATGCTATAATTACTTTTATCAAAATGAATGAGTTTTGAAACTTTTAAAATAAACTTTTAAATTAAAATGATTCGAAAAAGATATTTTTGTAATTATTAGATAAAAACGTCAATACATAATAGCATTCAAATGGCGAATTCGATATATGATATACTTGGTGTCTAATTTGACTTTATAAGTATAACAAATGTCAAATTTAACAGAAAAAGTTACATTGTATTTCACAGTAATTTTCTTATTCAAATGTTAAGATATTGAAACATTAATTTTGCATAGAATTGAAAATGCTATTAGATAAGGCTTTATCAAACGCCAAACTTTGAATTGACATAAAAATATTGAATAGGATTGAAATACTAACAAAAACATTAAGTGACCGATTATTTGCACTTTTTTTAAGGTTCAACTTGCACTTGTATATCTCGTAACATCTTTTGAAAGGCTGCCTTATTGCATGAGAAGTATGTATATTAACAACTAATTTGCATAGAAGATTATATATACATATATATCATGCATGTTTGGTTCTGATAAAACAGTGCGCATTTGATCATATTTATTTTATATCCTGTTAGCTGGCAGATTGCCTTAAATAATTCGTTTGTTTGTTTGTTTGTTTTTGTTTTTGTTTTAATTTCCATGAAGATGCCTTTAAAATAGAGTTACTTGATTCTAAGAAATAGATTTTGAAGCTGTATCATTCAAGAAACTTAATCCGAATTTGGCAAAGAAGAACAAAAGCCTGATCAGAATTTTTGCTTGAGGCCACTAGCTAACTTCTAATTAAGCTGAAACAATACAGAAAATTTGGGCCAAAAAAAAAAAAAATTAATCCAAATTTGGCAAAAAAAAAAAAAAAAATTATAATTAAGCTGAAACAATACAAATTGTGGAGGACCATGGAAAAGCCAATGAAACACGAGGTTTAGTTCTTAATCAATTATTGACGGGAATGGTCAACGTTTGGCCCAACCATCAAATATTAACACCAGCAGACCTACCATCATGCTGTTGAATGGAATAATATAGAAAATAAAAATGAAAAGTTAATAAATGTATTTTTTTTTGTAATGTAATTGACTATATTTTACCTATTATGAAAGAGGATCATTTTTCGTGAATTTAAAAATTTATCTGCTCTAAAAAATGTGGGTAGCTCGTGTTCATGACGAGAATTATTCTCTCTACGTATATATCAGGTGAAGTTCTTTTGAATTTGAGGAACAATTCTCCCTAACTTAGAGGGTGAATGATTCAGATTGCATTTGGGAAAAGATCATATGAAAATCGGAGGTCATATTTTTTTTTACTAGAATACAAATACTATAGAAGAAAAGTCAAATTGACAACTTCACAGTTTCTTTGAAATGAACAACTTCACAGTTAGCAAAGTGTACTTTTGCAATAGTTTGATATAGGAAAGTCAAGCTTCATTTTGACTTAATTCTTGGGTCAAATATAAATTAGATTTCTCTTTTTTTCTCTTCTAATTTTTGCAATTGATTACTTCAATTTTATCTGTAGATTTCTGATTCTGTTTTAGACAATTTAACTAAAAAAAATCAATTTTTTTTCTTGGATAATATAGTAATTTTAAGAATCAAACTAATCCTCTCCTCCTTCCTATTCAATAACAAATAAGAGAGAAGGATAACAACAATTATTCATTCTATTATACCAATCAACTTTGCCAAAATTACAATACATCCCTTCCTTCCCGCTCTCCGTCCCTCGTATCCTATCCATCATTCCACGAATCCATCCCTCCTACCAAATAATCCCTTAAGGTATTACTCTTACTTAAACGGACTCTTAAGGTTTTAATCTCATCCTATTACTCTATCCATTACCTCCTGTAAAAAGGAGAATGGGTTTTTCTGAGCACTAACAAATCGTTTTATCATAGTCATTTCGTTACTTTTCTTTTTCTTTTTTTTTTCTTTTTTTGTTTTGAAATATTAATAACACCCTTTTGCCCTCTCTTCTTTCTTTCTTATTTTTTTGCCTTATTATACAGTCTTTCTTCTTTCACTTTCCCTAAATTGACCCTCGTAAATATACTTTTTTATTTAACTTCTTGTTAAATTCATTTCTTCTTCCACAAATCATTGTCTAATTTTTTTTTTAAAATCCTCTTCCCTTGACAAAACATTTCTTAAGTGGGTTATTTTTGTTTAGTTTTTACTTTCCTTCTTTTTTCCTCTCTTTTGTTTGTTTGTTTGTTTTTTTCAATCTTCTCCTTTTTTTTATTTTTGTCTTATTATAGAGTTCTTTTTTTTTATTTCTCTAAATAAAATCCTAATAATTATATGTTTTTGAAACTTACTTGTAGAATCCCTAATCTAAAGTAGAATAAGAGGCTGTTTGGTTGAGGGATTCGTTCCCTGATTCGAATCATGATTCGTGGTTCGCTACAGTATTTTCTCTCATAAAAAATACACGTAAATAAAAAATGATTCGAATCACATGATTTGAATCCTCTAATCAAACGTCCTCTAAGTTTCGTTAAGGCATTTCATTATGTGGTTTCGTGTGTGTGTGTGCGTGTGTGTGTTTTTTTTAGTATCGTGCATTACTGATGTGAGTCAATTTTTTTTTCTTTAACTCTCTTTTTAATGATTGTAAGTAAAGCTCGTTATTACTTAAGGCCCCACATGTTATTAATTAAAGTGTTAAAAAAATGAAGAGAATGCAACAAGGTTTTTTTTTTCCTTATAAAAAAGGAAGGTAACCAATTTTAACTAAATTCTTATAGAATATTCCAAGCAAAGAAGAAAAAAAAAAACACCTCTTATTGAATATTTTCTTGTTAGTGAAAAAAACATATATTTTGAAATTTTTAAGATGTTATCACATTAACTCTTCTCACTCATTTTTCCTAATATATACATATATATAATCATAATTAGTATATTTTTAAAATGTTCACATTTTTCCTAATATATATATATTTATATATATTCATAATCCGTATGTTTTTAAAATGTTCACATATTATCCCTAGATTTCTCAGCTTTTATTATTTAAAATTATTTCTACATCTATATCAATATCTTATCGTTATGCATTTCGTTAATGTATAATGTACACGTCATTTCGCACAAATTTTTTAAATACTTTTTGAGATTTCTTTAATACTTTTTGAGATTTTTTTAATTTACTTTTTGAGTTTTTTTTTCTTGTTTTTATTTTTATTTTTCGTCTTTACTTATTTTTTCCTTTCTTTCTTCTCTTTTTTTTTTCTTAATAATTTATATAATTATTGTTTAAAAGGATGTCACGCACACTTGATAATAAAAGCCGGAAAAAATTATTTGGAAGTCAATTACTACAAAAAAAAAAAGGAAAAGAAGAATAAAAAATTATAGGCTTGTTTTGAATTGTTTTCAACTTGTTTTCGAATGTTTCTACAAGTCTTTTAAGGTAAGAAAACGAATCAGTCTCCAAATTGCGTTTGGTTTGCAAATATTTTTAAAACGTGAATGAAATTAAACAATGGTAAAAATTACGGTTGTTTTTCGTACCCAACCATATAATTCTCTCTATCTTCTTTTGGAAATTTATACGTAAGTCCTATTCTTTATAACTACAAATAGGTATCGTTGTTTTAACTATTGGATTAATTTGTGATTGTAGTAGTTTTCTATCATATACTATAAATTTTTATTGTGGACATTCACAGATTAGACCATTAAAATTTTAATTCAACAGTTAAAACATTAGTATCTATCAATAGTTAAAAAGGATATCCTTAACCCTAAGGCCTAAAAGTTCATTTTTTATTTTTATTTTCAGTTATTATTATATTTTTGCGTTAATAAAAAAACGTATTTTAATTGATCCATAGTTAAAAAGAATGGGACAATAAATAAAATAATCATAAAGAAAAGAAAAAATTAGTGAATGTACTAATTTAAATGTACTATTTTAAGATTTTTATTTTTTATTTTTATTAATACCTTTTTAATTAATATAATTCTTTAATTAAAAGATATTAATAAAGTATACGTACAAATTTAATACCTATATATTCGAGGACTCTTTTTTTTTATATATAAAAAAACAATTGTTACGCTCAAACAATTATTACCCATACGTAATTATTTTTTTTATATTTTTTATTTTATTTTATTTTTGGCTCAAACAATTATTACGCATCTATCCTGTTGTGTTAGGTTCGGAAGTAGGGGATTCAAATATAGGCTCAGGTTCGAGAGAGAGAGAGAGAGAGAGAGAGAGATTAGGGCTTGACTCTTGAGCTTCCGATTCCCCGCGCCATGGATACTGCCATTCTTGTCGACTCAAACAATGTCGCTGTCGGAGGTAAACTTTTGTTGCTCCATTTCTTGTTTCTCAAACCCTGAATAGGAAAATCTTGATTACCATCGCTTTCAGATTTATCTTTGTTCCGATTTTCTTCCTGAAATCGTCAACAGTTCCGGAAAATTAATCGCGTTAGATTTTCCGGCGAAAAGCCTAATTTCTTGAACCCCTTTTTAGGGTTCTTAAGATGAGATTGGGAAATATTGTTTTATTTGCTCTCATGGGACTTATAATGCTAAATTTGATTCAATTGGAAGATTGGAATTTTCGTAGGATGTGGCCAGTTAGGGTTTTTTTGACTGTTTTGTGACATAATTGCTATGAATAGCAGATGGTAAATATTATGTTGAAAAGCTGGAAAAGAAGCTGGAAAAGGTACTTTTGCACATATATATGCTTGGTTGGTGTTTTCCTATGTTGTGGGGTTAACTTGGGTAGGCTGCTTTCAGGCAAAAGTGGAATTGATGAAGGTTCTTGCGGACCGCAAGTATCCTTTATGGTCGATTTTCTGGCGCCTTCCCTAATGTATTTGGAACTGTTTAGAATATTTTGGTTTCTTTAACAGTAGTTTACAGCAAGCTTATTGAACATTGTGTGGTGGAGCTACGGAAACTGAGAGTAAACCTTTAGACATGTAATGATTTTTCCTCTCTCCTAGGAAAAAAAGATATATAAAATCAGGCAGTTAGCAAGACAGTCTACAATTTTACATCCCAATAATTAGAAGTGATGCCACTTATACTAACCCCTGCCTCTACTTTTCTTGCTATGAGTAGTCCATTTTTGCATCTGAATTCGTGCTGAACTACTTTTAACTGTAAGAAAAAGAAGAGTGTAAATAGATTTGTGAATTGAAGCGAATACTAATAGATACTACGAATTAAGACATCAAATTATGCCAACCTCTTACACTTAACTTACCATGTCTTTACCTGAATTAAGCTCCTGTGTCAATTAAAACACAACACTAGTTTAATTGAGGTGAAGATAATTTTCAAACAACAAAAATTCAACTATAAAGCATTAGCAATTTAGCATCTAAAAATGTACCGCCAGCATTTGGTTGTTCGCTTGAGTGGGTTGAGAGTTCTGTAACAGCACTTTCTGAAGGTTTACTCTCAGTTTCCGTAGCTCCACCACACGAAGTGCTGTTATAGAACTTTCAACCCGCTCAAGCGAACAACCAAATGCTGGCGGTACATTTTTAGATGCTAAACTGCTAATGCTTTATAGTTGAATTTTTGTTGTTTGAAAATTATCTTCACCTCAATTAAACTAGTGTTGTGTTTTAATTGACACAAAAGCTTAATTCAGGTAAAGACAGGGTAAGTTAAGTGCAAGAAGTTGGCATAATTTGATGCCTTAATTCATAGTATCTACTAGTATTCGCTTCAATTCACAAGTCTCTTTACACTCTTCTTTTTCTTACAGTTAAAAGTAGTTCAGCACGAACTCGGATGCAAAAATGGACTACTCATAGCAAGAAAAGTAGAGGCAGGGGTTAGTATAAGTGGCATCACTTCTAATTTTTGGCATGTAAAATTGTAGACTGTCTTGCTGACTGTGTGATTTTATATATCTTTTTTTCCTAGGAGAGAGGAAAAATCATTACATGTCTGGATTATAATAATGTGGTAAAAGCAAAATGCAAACTATTCTTGTTACAATTTTGATAATTGTTCTTTATTATTGTCCTCCTATCCTGTATTATCACAAATTTTCTTCCACTTTTCAGGCCGGTTCAAGTCATCATGATGAAACAGCAAAATCCTCTCAAGCAGATAAAGAAACTAAACCTAGTAATGCCAACAAGAGAAAACAAGCAAGGAACCAATGTATTTAATATTATCGAAATCTGTTATAAATTTTGGTCGTCTTTGCTTTACCAATCATTTGCTTTTGTGATCTTGCAGCTTTGGGCTGCCCTCCTGTTAAAGCAGTCTGTGCTAAAGAGGAGGTTAACAAGAGAAGGTTTCTTTTTGCCTTTCTTGTTTTTGTTTCTTTGCATAATTACCTTGTTTCTATTTTGGAATTTATATGGTTTCTTGACAGGAGTTGTTCGAGAAGGCAATCTGCACGGTTGAAATCCAAAGGATTAGAAGTAACTGAAGACTCTTTTCCGATGGATAATGCTAAAATTCCCGTTTCTTCTACACATGACGATCAGATTGATGCAAGCGGTCAAACAATACTGGAATCATCAACAAAATTTTTCTTGTTTTTATTTTTATTTTTCGTCTTTACTTATTTTTTCCTTTCTTTCTTCTCTTTTTTTTTCTTAATAATTTATATAATTATTGTTTAAAAGGATGTCACGCACACTTGATAATAAAAGCCGGAAAAAATTATTTGGAAGTCAATTACTACAAAAAAAAAAAAAGGAAAAGAAGAATAAAAAATTATAGGCTTGTTTTGAATTGTTTTCAACTTGTTTTCGAATGTTTCTACAAGTCTTTTAAGGTAAGAAAACGAATCAGTCTCCAAATTGCGTTTGGTTTGCAAATATTTTTAAAACGTGAATGAAATTAAACAATGGTAAAAATTACGGTTGTTTTTCGTACCCAACCATATAATTCTCTCTATCTTCTTTTGGAAATTTATACGTAAGTCCTATTCTTTATAACTACAAATAGGTATCGTTGTTTTAACTATTGGATTAATTTGTGATTGTAGTAGTTTTCTATCATATACTATAAATTTTTATTGTGGACATTCACAGATTAGACCATTAAAATTTTAATTCAACAGTTAAAACATTAGTATCTATCAATAGTTAAAAAGGATATCCTTAACCCTAAGGCCTAAAAGTTCATTTTTTATTTTTATTTTCAGTTATTATTATATTTTTGCGTTAATAAAAAAACGTATTTTAATTGATCCATAGTTAAAAAGAATGGGACAATAAATAAAATAATCATAAAGAAAAGAAAAAATTAGTGAATGTACTAATTTAAATGTACTATTTTAAGATTTTTATTTTTTATTTTTATTAATACCTTTTTAATTAATATAATTCTTTAATTAAAAGATATTAATAAAGTATACGTACAAATTTAATACCTATATATTCGAGGACTCTTTTTTTTTATATATAAAAAAACAATTGTTACGCTCAAACAATTATTACCCATACGTAATTATTTTTTTTATATTTTTTATTTTATTTTATTTTTGGCTCAAACAATTATTACGCATCTATCCTGTTGTGTTAGGTTCGGAAGTAGGGGATTCAAATATAGGCTCAGGTTCGAGAGAGAGAGAGAGAGAGAGAGAGATTAGGGCTTGACTCTTGAGCTTCCGATTCCCCGCGCCATGGATACTGCCATTCTTGTCGATTCAAACAATGCCGCTGTCGGAGGTAAACTTTTCTTGCTCCATTTCTTGTTTCTCAAACCCTGAATAGGAAATCTTGATTACCATCACTTTCAGATTTATCTTTGTTCCGATTTTCTTCCTGAAATCGTCAACAGTTCCGGAAAATTAATCGCGTTAGATTTTCCGGCGAAAAGCCTAATTTCTTGAACCCCTTTTTAGGGTTCTTAAGATGAGATTGGGAAATATTGTTTTATTTGCTCTCATGGGACTTATAATGCTAAATTTGATTCAATTGGAAGATTGGAATTTTCGTAGGATGTGGCCAGTTAGGGTTTTTTTGACTGTTTTGTGACATAATTGCTATGAATAGCAGATGGTAAATATTATGTTGAAAAGCTGGAAAAGAAGCTGGAAAAGGTACTTTTGCACATATATATGCTTGGTTGGTGTTTTCCTATGTTGTGGGGTTAACTTGGGTAGGCTGCTTTCAGGCAAAAGTGGAATTGATGAAGGTTCTTGCGGACCGCAAGTATCCTTTATGGTCGATTTTCTGGCGCCTTCCCTAATGTATTTGGAACTGTTTAGAATATTTTGGTTTCTTTAACAGTAGTTTACAGCAAGCTTATTGAACATTGTGTGGTGGAGCTACGGAAACTGAGAGTAAACCTTTAGACATGTAATGATTTTTCCTCTCTCCTAGGAAAAAAAGATATATAAAATCAGGCAGTTAGCAAGACAGTCTACAATTTTACATCCCAATAATTAGAAGTGATGCCACTTATACTAACCCCTGCCTCTACTTTTCTTGCTATGAGTAGTCCATTTTTGCATCTGAATTCGTGCTGAACTACTTTTAACTGTAAGAAAAAGAAGAGTGTAAATAGATTTGTGAATTGAAGCGAATACTAATAGATACTACGAATTAAGACATCAAATTATGCCAACCTCTTACACTTAACTTACCATGTCTTTACCTGAATTAAGCTCCTGTGTCAATTAAAACACAACACTAGTTTAATTGAGGTGAAGATAATTTTCAAACAACAAAAATTCAACTATAAAGCATTAGCAATTTAGCATCTAAAAATGTACCGCCAGCATTTGGTTGTTCGCTTGAGTGGGTTGAGAGTTCTGTAACAGCACTTTCTGAAGGTTTACTCTCAGTTTCCGTAGCTCCACCACACGAAGTGCTGTTATAGAACTTTCAACCCGCTCAAGCGAACAACCAAATGCTGGCGGTACATTTTTAGATGCTAAACTGCTAATGCTTTATAGTTGAATTTTTGTTGTTTGAAAATTATCTTCACCTCAATTAAACTAGTGTTGTGTTTTAATTGACACAAAAGCTTAATTCAGGTAAAGACAGGGTAAGTTAAGTGCAAGAAGTTGGCATAATTTGATGCCTTAATTCATAGTATCTACTAGTATTCGCTTCAATTCACAAGTCTCTTTACACTCTTCTTTTTCTTACAGTTAAAAGTAGTTCAGCACGAACTCGGATGCAAAAATGGACTACTCATAGCAAGAAAAGTAGAGGCAGGGGTTAGTATAAGTGGCATCACTTCTAATTTTTGGCATGTAAAATTGTAGACTGTCTTGCTGACTGTGTGATTTTATATATCTTTTTTTCCTAGGAGAGAGGAAAAATCATTACATGTCTGGATTATAATAATGTGGTAAAAGCAAAATGCAAACTATTCTTGTTACAATTTTGATAATTGTTCTTTATTATTGTCCTCCTATCCTGTATTATCACAAATTTTCTTCCACTTTTCAGGCCGGTTCAAGTCATCATGATGAAACAGCAAAATCCTCTCAAGCAGATAAAGAAACTAAACCTAGTAATGCCAACAAGAGAAAACAAGCAAGGAACCAATGTATTTAATATTATCGAAATCTGTTATAAATTTTGGTCGTCTTTGCTTTACCAATCATTTGCTTTTGTGATCTTGCAGCTTTGGGCTGCCCTCCTGTTAAAGCAGTCTGTGCTAAAGAGGAGGTTAACAAGAGAAGGTTTCTTTTTGCCTTTCTTGTTTTTGTTTCTTTGCATAATTACCTTGTTTCTATTTTGGAATTTATATGGTTTCTTGACAGGAGTTGTTCGAGAAGGCAATCTGCAAGGTTGAAATCCAAAGGATTAGAAGTAACTGAAGACTCTTTTCCGATGGATAATGCTAAAATTCCCGTTTCTTCTACACATGACGATCAGATTGATGCAAGCGGTCAAACAATACTGGAATCATCAACAAAAGAGGAAGATGAAGAAAATGATATTCCTGGATCTGAAGATTTGGGCCCTCCTACTGTTAAAGCGTTTGAAGTTAGAGAGGAGACGGAGAAGAAAAGGTTTATTCTTTTTCTTGATTTGATTTGCTTGTGAAATTACCTAGTGTCAAATGTTTCCTAAGAAATTCATTAAGGCAATACAAATGACTTTTATGGTTTCCTGGCAGACGTTCAAGAAGGCAATCTGCTACGTTTAAAACTGAAGAATCAGAAGCAACTGAAGAATCGTATGAGATTGATGCCAAATATCACGTGTCTTCTCTACATGATGATGAAATTGGCACAAGTGGTCAAACATTCTCGGAATTATCAGTTAAAAAAGAATATGAAGGAAATGCTACTGCTGGGTCTGAAGGTCAAGAACTTAGACGATCATCTGTTGGAAGGCCATTGCGCCGAGCAGCTGTGAAGGTTCAGTCTTACAAGGAAATTCCGCTCAAGATAAAGATGCGCAGAATGGAGTGAGTCACATTCTCATAAGAGCTACATTTTCTCAACAGCAGACAATGTGGTTCCTTAATAAATGTAGTCTTTCGTCTCTTTTTTCTGGGGGTGCCTTGCAGTAACTGATATAGAGCATGTCTTGTATTGTTCTTCTAATCCGTCCTTTCAGGGTAGAAAGCTTCTTGCTTGCTGTAGATTTTAGTTCGTAACTTCTTGTACTCTATTTTCATCTTCAGATGTTAACCAAAATTGGGGAAAATCTTCTGATTTAGCCTAACAAAGTTTTTCTCTGTAAAAGTGAAGCACTATAATTCTAGAATTTGATCGTTTCCATTGCAAAATTCAACATCCTTGCGATTCCACTAGTACTAGTAGGTACTTAAAATCACAGTTTAACTGGGATTATTCCCAAGGCATGTTCTTCAACATTGGGGTTTTGTTTTGTTTTGTTTTGTTTTGTTTTTGTTTTTGTTTTTAAACAACCCATCTGAAGCTGATCTATGTCCTATGATGAGGTTTGCCAGGTTTACAGGACATTCTAATGTCTTCTTTGATGCCTCTCAAGTGAATAATGTTTAGTATTATATTTTGTGCTTTTGTGAGTTACTTGTCCAATTACTTGCTCTGTTTTTTTTCAATTTAGTTTTTTAAATTTTTGGTAGCACGTCCAATTTACTTGCTTTTCTTAAAAAAAAAAAAATTGCTTGAAACTAGTCATGTCTATTTTAAAATAAATAATTAAGATCTTGAGGATTATTGTTAGAATGTGAATCTAGTTTGGGCCCATCACTGATCCCACACTCACATGCATAAAATGTAGAAGTGACCAAAAAGGTTGAAACAAAAACCCAAAACCGCGTTAGTGTACGAATGTTTGAAAAAGAAAAAAAAAATTGTTAAAAACAACATAAGAAAAAAAAAGGTAAAACGTTGATTAAAGTGATACGTTGGAAAATTAACATTGATTCTAAGGACAAGCTTTTGTTTACCGTTTCTGCATTAGGTATAAGGAAACAATAAATATTTGGCATTTACGGTGAAACATAGTCGAACATAGTCGAATTGAGATGTAATTTTATGTGAGAATTTTTCATTATAGTAAAAAAATTAAATGTGTCTGTTTCTGAGACTTTTTTAATGTAACAAAACCTAAATTTTAAATTCAAATTGGTAAAATGAACGAGACTTTTGTTTTGTCTTTGCTAACATTTTTTTTTGGTGTTTACATTAAGGTCGCAGATTTTCTCTTTCATTTATTACGAGATTGCTCGTGTTTCAACTTGTGGACAAAATGAGTAAATCAACCACAACTTATTGTTGAGCTTTTTACAACATCTATTAGCAAGCTGGTTTGTGATTCATACCAAATAAACGCGCAAACTATAACTTTTTTTTTTTTTTCTAATTATGAGTCTAATATCTTAAATTTTGGATTTGGAATCTGCATGTGTGCATGTGAAAATGGAGTGGCCAATCTGCATGACTTGCAAGACATATATGAGGATCCACACGCAAGGGATAAATTCATTTTTTGACAAAAAAGTTTTCCAAACAGCCAATTGATCTGAAATGTAGGTCAAGACAGTAATGTGCTTTCCTTTTTGCCAATCCCAAATGATAAAAAAAAAAAGAACACAAAATTTGTACCTAAAAAGAGGGTCCTCAATGACCCTACCATCATCTTCTTTGTGTCCAATCCTGCTTATAGTTTGAAGAAAAAAAGGCTGTGTTCTACGCGCCTCTTTCTCTGACAATTTGTCCTATATAGTTCGAGAAATACGTTTTAGTTGTGCCGACTGCCCACACATGCGTCCTCTTTGTCCCATTCCCATATAATTCTAATATTCCCTCTCTCCTTTTTTTCCCCTTTATAGTCTATATTGAATTCTTTACAGAACTAGAAGCCAAGTTCATGTGAGATAAATGAAAAAAGTTATCATGGCACTTGTATAGGTTATGTTTTATTAATTAATGACCATGTACAATCTTTACACATAATCCATCATTTTTGTTCTCTTTCAACAGTCAAAAGCATATATCTAAAGAGAGGAAAAAAAGAAGTGCTTTACATAAATAAGATGATTTTAATCATTTCTAAAACTAGACTTTTCTTTCGACTCTGACCAAGGTAGTGGCTCTAGAATTTGGATCTTGCCATTGAATCCTATATATATAGAGATACATACATATAAACTAAACAATGACTTTTGATTTTGTGACATGATAAGCTATATATTTTACAAAAATGTTCTTCTAACTATATATACATATATGTTAAGATAAAGCATGGATCAGAATTTCACATTATATAAAATATATATCTACACAATTCCAAGAAAAGAACAAAATAAAAAATGAGTTAAGGTATTAGCATCTTAGCTAAAGGATCAATCAAGATATATAGCAGATTCGATTGAAATAATTATCTTAAAATTTTGGCTTATAATATGAAATGACAACCCAAAATCTCGTAAGACATATTCAACGTTACAAAAGCATGCACGTTGTTCAGTTCCTTCATTCCACAAGGTGTGTGTGCTCGTGATTAATGTCAAAAAAAACATGCAAACTCTAAAACCGTAATTGAAACTGTGGGCTCCCTAGGCTTCAAATTAGATGTATACAACAACTTAGGTCTGAGGATGAAATCAATCTGTGACTTTCTGTTATATTGAAATTTTAAGAATATCTTAAAAGTAATAATTTTGAGTATTAAAAAAATTCTAAATGTATTTGAAAATATTTAAAAATTAAAAAAAAACCTCAAAATTTTACATTTAAAATATGAATTAAAAAAAAGTTCTTAAAATATTTTTGTAAAATTTTCAAATTTTTTTGTTTCTAATTAATTAATCGAAAAGGCAGAAGGGACATGTTATGATTTAATTAATTTTTTGAAAGCATAATGCTGGACATTCTTGTTCTCCAGCAACAACTGCAACAAAATTGTGAGCAAGGACAACAGAAGCAGGAAGAAACTGAGGACCAGCAAGCAAAAGAGAGCCACTTTGTTGACCAACATTTTCCTAATTGTTTTGACACTGAGCATGGAAATGGTAGCATCCTAATTGAGTCTGAGAAAGACAGTAGGGACTCGGACCTGCCACCGGGCGCGGAGAAGCTGGTGGCGGGAAAGGCGTTGCCGGAGAAAGGGAAGCTGCTGCAGGCAGTGATGGAAGCAGGGCCACTCCTGCAGACTCTTCTCCTGGCTGGTCCTCTCCCTCAGTGGCAGCACCCGCCTCCTCGTGTCGACACCATAGAGATTCCTCCGGTGGCCATTTCTCGCACTCCGCCGCTGACCTTTCTTCTCCATGACTCTTGTTTTAGTCACAGGAGAAGCCTACCACACTCTGATCATGACTCTGTTTTTAACTCCAACACAAAGTACCAGAGGATTCTCTACCAAGGCTGTAGTTCTTTTTATTTTCTATATTTTAACCTAAATTTCATGTCAGCCAATTCCTTTCATACTGTAAAACGTCCAAAGGATTCAACATGAAGTGGATTGCATTTTTTTTGTGTTTTTTGTTTTTTGGGGGCATCAGTTTAGAATTTAGACTGCTTTATCTTGAAGATCAAGATCCTAACTTGTGTAACTTGTTAGCTGAAAGACTGAAATTGTCTTTTCCAGCATATTGTAGCTGCCATTGTGAATATGAGGTAAAATATGTTAAGAATTAGATTTTGTAATTCTATGTTATCAAGATTTTGACTGAAGAAAAGGGAAAAAAATAAATAGAAACACGCAAGGGTCATAGTTTTTCATCTTAAATATGAGTGCTATACTTTCTTTTAGCTGCTACAAAAATTAATTATGATTAACAAGAAGATTATAAGCAAAATCACACACCTCTCAAACTCACTGTATTTCTTCTAAAAGCGCCCCCTCATTGATTTATTACAAATTCATGAGTTGTCTTTTCATCGTTACAATAATTCAGCTCCACAACTTAGGAACAGTTGTATAAATTCTCCTTATTAAGTTGGGAATCTGTTATGGATTTACAAATATAAAGTACATTGAGATTTAACATGATGCACATTGGCTTAAAAGCCTGATAGTTGTGCTGATCACGCAATGTCTTCTTGTTAGCTTTTTCTTTTTCTTAAAGTAGTACATGTAATGATATTGAGTATGACTTTGGCTGGACATTAAATATCTTCCCATAAATTTTCTTTGTCATGAAGCTAGAGTTTTAGGTACCACATTCATGGCTAATAAGTGTCTGCCATTTACTTTGCATATACTCAAGACGTTTGGTTCATGGATACATCATTATGATTTAGAATTATTTTCGTTTTACGTGTATTTTTTGTGAGAGAAAATACTGTAACGAGTCACGAATCATTATTCAAACCATGACATAAATTCCTCTTTTAAATGCACGCTTACTTTCATTTTGCAATAGTTAATAAGAATTTTAAAACACACAAAAATCAAATGTGTACCAAATGACAAAAACTGGACGAATGGAATTCTCTCCACATGACCAAGACTGTGAGTTAATCAAGTAAAAGGGATTATGGTAGTTGCTTTCTTTGAACCAATATTGAGAGATAAAAGTGTATACCACATGACATGCTTAATAAGCGCAAAAAATATACCAATAGGACCCTACACTATTTGTGTGCCCAATTTTTCTTGTAAGCATCTTTGCCATTTCTGACCATCTTTGTTTATTTATTCTTTTACTTTCTTATAGTCGTCTGAATTTTCATTCTAATACATATGCATGCACACATAAATACATAAATGTATATACATACATATGCATGCATGTATGTTTGTATATATGCTAGAGTGACATACAAATATATATATGCTAGAGTGAATTCTAGCTAATTATGTGCTGAGCAGGAACAAGTGTAACCTAACAGGCAAGTTCCGCAAAAAATGTACTAAACCAACTGTTAGGGACCAAAAGAAAGTAGGAATCAGACACTAATTGTCCAAGTTAAAGACAATTCAGAATCAGACACGTTACATTCTAACGAAACAAATGTACCAAAATAGTTGCAGGCTTAGCCTAACAGTAGCTAATTTTAAACCTACATACCTTTAATGTCAAGGTCATAATAAGTTCGTAGAGTTCTAAGAAAAATTATCTAAAAAAATGTTGTCCAAAATAATAAAACTACAACATAACAGGTAACAAGTGATCAAAACAAGAATAAACACATATGTTAAAATTTGGAATTAAGACAATTATATACCAAGAGTTCCAGTCAAAACTCTCAAGTCTCAACGGAGAATCAGATTCGAGAACAAAACCAGTCAACTGAAAAAATGCAGAAACCTCTTCCTCTTTGTAGTTCTTTTTAGTTGTCTCTAATAAAGGTTTCCTTGTTTCTTTTCCAAAAAAATAAATATGGGATTAATTGCCCATACTCTATTATGCAAACTATTCTTTCCTTCTTAGGGTTATGAGGTTTTTTTCTTGTATTATGGATTTTTCTAGGTAATTTATCGAAAGTCTCTTTTCTGAAAATTAAAAGTAATTTATGTTTCAGAAGTTATTTTATTAAGTTTTTCATTATTAGTCTCTCTATATGAGAGTTTTAAAGTAATCTATTATTATGTCTCTTTATGAGAGTTTCATAAGTAAAGATGAAAACTTTTATTATTGTTCTTGTGGGAAATAGGTGCTAGAGATAGGATAAATGTTGCGCAATTTCACAAGTGCACAGATCGTACAAGTAATAAAGTGTACCGGAGTACATATATCATTCCCACGGAGATTGTGCCTAATTTGTGTTAAATATTGAAATTGAATTAGCTCTAAAATTATTTGAACAACTGATTACCAAGACAGAAAAAATAACTAAATCTAAAATGAAGAAAATTTAATAAAATAACTAAAGAAAACTAATAAAATGCTCTAGGGATTCAATTTCACCTAATTATGTTACTGAGCATCCATTAATTATCTCAATTGGGTTGTCTAGTAGAATAAAAGTCAAAATTTGCTAAACTCTCCAAAAGCCCCTCCCGGTAGTCAATCGAAAATATCCTTCGTCAATTAGTAAACTATATTCCTATGATTACCAATTAATTAGGATTCATAAGGTTCTTGAATTTCGTTAATGGCTACATAATCTTAGTGGGTATATTCCCTATCCCGCTAAAATTACGTCACTCTATGATTGGCCTAGCACGTAAATCCACCTTCCGATAGCAATCTACGGCTTCCTAATCAACTAATTGGTGATCAATCAACTAGAAACATTAAACCACATAGAGTAATTATCCAACATCATTTAGATAACACAATTAATTTGAATAAATGAAAAATCAAAGCAACACAAACCATGCAATATTGAAACCCTAGAACAAGGAAAATCAAACCATAATCACAAATAAAAATAAACAACACCAATAATCAAGCATTTTTAGAGATTACAAAAATAATGAGAATAAAGATGGAAAAAAAATCACCAAATGGAGGTGTCACAAACTCTAAAACTTCTTCCCTAAATCTTTATTTTCCTCCTTTTTGAAGCTCCAAAATGCCCTCTTCAATGGTGTTTACAAAATAAAATTACATAAATCTAAAACTAAAAATAACTCCTAAAAGTAAAATCCTACAACTCTAAAAATAATTTTTTTTCTTTTTCTTCATTTCTCTATTCCCCTCTTGTTCTCTGTAGCTGCTTGTTGCTGGAAGAGTTGCCTATCACCAAGCCGAAATTGCTTTTAATTACATGCACAAAGGAGAGAAGAAACCTAGACAAGTGGCAGCGCCGGATTGGGAGCAAGTAGATAGTGGGAGACAAGCTTGCCACGTGGCGTGGGAGAATGGCTAGAGCAGTAATTTAACTGCCTGAAACTCACGGAGAGGAGAGTGAATCACACACATGCATCTGGTCTGTTGGTGGTGCGGATCTGACGGCTACGGAAGCGAATTCCGCATCTTTTTCTACTCTCCAGATTGGGCTTTGTTTGGTCCGAATTCTATTTTTAGTTTCTGATTTATTTCTTTACATTTTGACCCTATTTTAGCTCAAAAGTTTGCAATTAAGCCCATCTGTCACCAAATTCGTTACATAAATGAAGAAATTAATTATTTTAGAAGGGAAACTAAAATAAAAATTACTAAAACTAAACTAAATGGACAAAAATAAAATAAAATAAATCTAAAATGAGAAGTGTACATTAAAATTCAAAATAAAGTAAAACAACAATAACGACGGTGAGGGGCTAGATCCGTACGGAGGCTTGTTCGACGATGAGCAGAAGAAGATTCTAGAAATCAAGGAGCAACTTGAAGATTCTGACCAGGTCCTACTTCTACTCCTTATTTTTATTCTTTTTCTCTTCTGATTTAATTAATTAATTCCTTTTCGTTTCAGATTTTACGTTTTGAATTTCTTTGGCAGTCTGAAGATACATTGGTGGAATTGCTTCAGAGTCTTGTTGATATGGATATAACATTCCAAGCTCTCAAGGTAATTTCGTTTATCGTCTTGTATTTTTTTTTGTTGTAAAATTTTTTCACATATGGAATTGTGATTTGTAGGAAACAGATATTGGGAGACATGTGAATCGGTTGAGGAAGCATTCGTCGAGCGAAGTCAAGCGATTGGTGAAGCAAGTTGTCAGGTTTTTGAATGATCTCAACTTGTTGAAAGATGAAAGTTTCTCTTTAGTTGTTTCTGATAACGAACTGATTAAAGAGTTGTTTGTTTCTCAGGTAATGGAGAACATGCATCAAATTCTCTCATGGGTACCATTCAAAAAATTCTTCCTATTTAAGTTTCTCCTTTGGGGGAAAAAAGTTGAAAGATTGAGAGTTTCTGGCCTTGATATGAGATTTTTGTATAAGTTCTAATTTGGTATACTGATTTGTTGCAGATGGAGATTCACCCCAACAGAAAGTTCCCCAAAATGGTCATCACCAGGTTGGAAAAAAAAAATCAAAATTCTTAGCTGAATTGTATTCTTTTTTTTCTCTGGCACAATGTTTGAGAAAATCTGAGTTCTTTTCTACAATTAGCATGCTAAATATTCTATGTGCTTGGTTTTCTTCTCAGGTTCCTGATTTTGCATACTCTCCAAATCCACACAATGAGTACATAGAATCAGTTTCCTTTCTTTCTCTGACACTTTTACTTGTTTTGCAATTTGACCAATCTGGGCTTCTTTCTTTGTTTGAATTTTTGAAATTATTCTTGTTGCCAATACAGATGGGAGTTCCGGGTCAGACAAGAACAATTCAGAACCAGAGCGGAAGCCCAAAGCAGTTCCTTCTCGGAGAGAAGCTCTGCCGAAACCAACGACTCCATCAGTCCCACAGTCCGCTCACTCAACTCCCCAAAATGTATGGATTCCAAATTAGAGTCCCCTAACTCTATGGTTGGATGCTGAAAATTGGAGGAAGAAAATATAAAAATTTGAGGCTTATATAGCTTCCAAAAACATAAAGAAAGAAACCCAACTCAACTGTGCCCAATTACTTGAAACCTTAGCCTAGTTGAGTAGAGGTGTAAGTCCCCCCTCAGATGCTGCACAATGTGAAGTTCTTTTAAGTGAAAAGTGGCAGTAAATGATCCACTTTGATAATATTCTGAGTTAACTTTGTTGACACTTTTGCAGAGACAGAGGGAACAAAGGGAGGGCAGCTTTGACGCGGAAAAGCTGGCTTCGGCAAGAAAACGACTTCAAGAAAATTACAAAGAAGCTGAAAATGGTTCGCCATTTTCTTTGGTCTTTTCCAGTTTACACTAATTTCTTGTTATTTAAGCTATGTTACGTTTGGACTTGTACTGATTGTTGGTATTTTTTTTGCTTTGTGCTTTGTTATTGAAGCTAAAAAGCAAATAACTATCCAAGTGATGGACATCCATGAGATCCCAAAACCAAAGGCAAAAAATGCTTTCTTCCCTAAGAATAAGGGTGGAGGAGATGGTTCTCTGGGAAGACACTGGTGAATGGTGATTCTGATTATTTCCTTCAAAATTTGGAGCAGAAAAGAAGGCTTTTTTGGGTCTCTGTAAAAGGGTATTTGGAAAAGGACGTTTGGTTTATGAATTAGAATCATGTGATTAGAATAATTTTTTATTTACGTGAATTTTTTGTGAGAAGAAATACTGTAACGAATCATGAATTATGATTCAAATCATAATTTGAATCCTCTAATTAAACGTCCCCGAAAAAACTTAAACCCGTTAAATCCTTTTCTAGTTGACATTTTTTTTAGCCAAAAAAAAGGGACTCCTGTTTTTGCCCCCCTTTTTTTGTTTTTAGTTTTTTTTTTTTAAGAAGGAAATACGAAATTTGCTCAATTCTACTTCAACATGTACATATGTGGACTAATGAATTGGAAATATGAGGGCATATGTGTCTTTCGGTACCTTTGGGGGTAATTTAGGAAATGGAAAGAATTTCGCATTTGGGATTCGGATTTTAGGGTTACGTAAGAGTTTGTTTTTTTGAGTGAAAAACTTAAAAAAAGTAACTCGAATTACAATTTTATTCGAGTTTATTTTTTTTTAAGTTTAAACTTGAGTTTGAACTCGAGTTTGAGATTAAAACTCGAGTTTAAGTTTTCTCTTCAACTCGAGTTTAGAAATTCGAACTCAAATTAATAAACAGTGTTTTTTTTATTTTTAAAAATGTTATAACTTTTTCGTTTTAATTCTGATTGAGATGATTTTTTTTTCTATGCGTTGACAATGAAAAGATTAATAAAATTCCACCCATATACCCTATTAAAATTTTCCATCAGTATTGAGTTTTTATTAAAATACTATCTAAATATAAATTTAAGTTTTAACTCATTCAAATATAAACTAAAAAAGATTTTTATCTCAAATTATAATTTAAATATACATAATTAAACACAAATTCAAGTTATAATTTTAATTCAAATTATAACTCAAATTCAACTCAAGAATTATATTCAAGTTAAACTTCAAAAGAACAGGCAGAAGAAGAAGAGAGAGAAAGAAAGATGGGAGAGAGAGTAAACCACCGAAGGGCTTCACCCCCAAGGCGGCGACGACCTCTTCGTTCACCAGTCCTCGATCCGAACCGACGGCTTTCGCAGCCTCGCCGACGGCGAGACCGTCGAGTTTGATCGAGTCAGATCCCAGCGGCCGCACCAAGGCCGTCGACGTCACCGGCCCTGACGAGGCTCCCGTTCAAGATCCCGCGGCGGCGGAGGCGGCTCCAGCGGAGGAGGCGGGAGAGGAGGCTCCCGCGGTGGTGGAAGTGGCGCCAGAGGGGCTTCGGCTTCATAACCCCCAACGCTGGTGATTTCATAACCCCCAACGTTAGTGTACTTATCTGTAGCTTCTTTTTTGAAATGTTCACAGAGCCGGATTTTGAAGCACGCTGGTGATTTGGCTGCTGCTGCTGCATTAGCAGATGAAGCTAGATGTATGGATCTTGCAGATCGATACATAAACAATGAATGTGTTAAGCGTATGCTTCAGGCTGATCAGGTACTGAAGCCGTCTTTTTTCATCATTGATCTTGTTGTTGTTGTGGGGGTTTTTTTTTCTTTTTTTTTTTTTCCTTTTGGCTTCTAAACGTGTCATATGTGTCACATTGTGTTTCACTATCTCTCTTTTCTGTCCTTTAGGAGATAAATTGATTTCTAAAAAACTATTTGATTTTGCAGGTTGCTCTAGGTGAAAAAACTGCAGTGTTGTTCACCAAAGATGGAGATCAGCACAACAACCTTCACGACATGCAGTGCATGTGGTGTGTCTCTTCTTACCTGCTGGAATTATTTATTTGTCAATGCTGGTGTTTTGTTAGCCTGCTTTTAAGTATTTCTGTATATTCTACTGAAGGTATGAGCTAGCATCTGGTGAAAGTTACTTCCGCCAAGGTGATCTTGGACGGGCTTTGAAGAAATTTCTATCTGTGGAGAAGCACTATGCTGATATACTGTACAGGCTGGGCTATTTGCATGAAGGCTTGGAACCCAAAGTGGTGCACAGGGATGTTAATTGAATTTCCTTCCGATCTCCCTCTCCCTTCAGCTCCTGGTGTTTAAAGCTCAAGGACTTCCATGGCGGTTCAATTCCTTCCGATCTCCCTCTCCCTTCCGCTCCTGGTGTTTAAAGCTCACTTGTTAAATGTAGGCTGTAGCAATATATCTTAATATCATATTTGTCAATTGTGACGTTATCAGTCTCTGTTGTAGTGCCTTCTCTTTAGTATATTTCTTTACTTAGTTATGTTATTTTCCTTGTGTTGTTTCAGCTAATGATGGCTGTGTATCCATCCTGTTGTAGGCTCAAATGAGTTATTTGACAGGTTTTGTTGAGACAACAAGACAACAGCTCCGGAGTCTAAAACCAAATCATCGTATGAATTGGATTGGCTTTGCTTGGATTGGCTTCCCTGTTGCTCACCATTTAAACTCAAAGTATAATTTGATCCTTTTTATCATCAAACTATTACTTAGCTTTTTTCTTATCCCCTATTACTTAGCGCTTTTCTTTTTCCTCTATTACTTAGCTTTCATTATCATTCCCTCTGAATGAGTTATTCTAATACAGTACTAGTACTAAACAATCATGAATCATATTGAATTTTAGATTGTCAAACCTTTTTTAATTAAAGTATCCAATAAGATGAAGTTTGTGCTTTGACCGTCGTCTGAAATTTGGAGAATACATTTATGGTTCTATTCTTTTACTTGTGGCAATATAGGTGTCCTATTAGTTGTTCAAAAAATTAAAAGTGTCTCCTTTTCGTTAGTTTTTGTTCGTATACTGTTACGTTAGGTCCGATTGACCGGTGACAGAGCAGTTATACTCAACCGGTCGACCGCCTTACACTAACCGGTCGACCGGTGCCTGTGCGACAGTAACCCAGATTTTCAGAAATCAAAACAGTTTTTCAATTTATTCAAAAAACACAAAATAATTTTATAAGCCAAGGAAAATTAGATACATGCATATCCATCATCTTCAAAATCCATCTTCAAAATTCTTGATAAATCTCCTCCAAGAATTTTTACATAAAAATTCCTATACCGTTTTTCGGTTTACAAAATTTCTAATAAAGAAAATAAAATAAACCCTAACGGCGATGATAGGCCGTTTATCTAATTACATTGTAATTAACAAATTCTTATACAACCATTCTAAACTCTAAGGAACCATAACCGGTAAAAATTAAATAATAAATAATCATTGATAATTTATAAATAATAATCAATAATAATTATTTAATAACCATTCACCATATATTCATGATAACAACATAATATAGAAACCCTAGAGTGCCATCTCTCTAAAATATCAATTCAAGCATAAAAGAGATATTTTTAGATCACAAATCTATGTACATAGCATAATCATGAACAAATAACCATGGCTCTAATACCAATTGTTGGAAAATTAATGGCATCGAGTGCGCAGCAGAATTTAAAAAATTTTAATCAACGTTAAAACCAAACAAGAACATGTTCATGATGCTATATAACATAAATACTAAAGATCTAAAACATACCTTTTGAGATTTCAGGAAACTGCACGTCTGACAGATCTAAGCGTTCCAAACAGCATGCATCCAAAGTGACCAAAGCATCCAAAAAATGAAAAAAAAAATATATAAAATGGAGAGGGCAGATACCTGAATCTGACGAAGGGTGAAGAAATGAAAATAACACGACTTCCCCAAAGCTGAAGTTGACAGAGAGCTGACGAGACCCCAGAGAGAATAATAGGGCAGAAAAGAAGAAGAAGAAGAAACCAAATTCTTATCTTTCCTTTGTAAACTAAAATTCCGAGCACCAAAAAAAACAACTCCAAAAGAAGAGAAGAAGAAGAAGTCCAAAGCGTCCAAAGCGTCTAAAAAATGAAAAAAAATATATATAAAAATGAGAGGACAGATACCTGAATCTGACGAAGGGTGAAGAAATGAGAAGAACACGACTTCCCTAAGGCCGAATTTAACAGAGTGCTGACGAAAGTCCAAAGGGAATAACAGGGCGGAGAAGAAGAAGAAAAAGAAACCAAATTCCTATCTTTCCTTTGTAAACTAAAATTCTGAGCACCAAAAATAACTCCAGCAGACGAAAAGAAAAAGAAGAAGTCCAAAGCGTCCAAAGCATCTAAAAAATGAAAAAATATATATAAAATGGAGAGGGCAGATACCTGAATCTGGCGAAGGGTGAAGAAATGAGAAAAAAAAAATCCAAACCATCCAAAAAAATAAAAAAAAATAAAAAATGGAGATGGCAAATACCTGAATCTGACGAAGGTGATAGTTTAGCTTGACAGCAGATGACCAACTGTATTGCTGCCTAGGCCATTTGTACAATTTATCTAACTGCTCAATATGATCCGATGAATACTGACCGTTTTCTGAATAGAGCCCGACGCATTTTTAAAAGCCTTCATAGTATCTGAAAGTTCACGGTCCAAACATATTAGCTTACCTTATGCAAAACCTGGGCATGTGCCACATGCAATCAGTCATAATATTATATGCATCATGCCGATGATTGCAGAAAAAAATTGACAGCAATATTCAGCAACTTCAAAAATAGCCATAAATTTCAACAAAAAAGCATCTTAAATCACCTGTAATTGTCAGGATTCATGGCAAGTAATGCCTTGTACAAAGTAGCACCTTCTTCAAAGCGACCAAGCTTTACCAAAAGAGAAACCTCTTGTTCTTTATAAGCTAATTTATCAACCTTGAAACACATGAAAATGAGATGATAAGTACTGAAGAATAAAGATCATCATGCTCAAACTCAACATAATTAAAAGAAAATATGTAGCAGAAGCTTACTATTTTCAACTCTTTCTTGTGCAATTCATCAAGAGCTCTCTCAAGAGAACCAGATTCTTCTAACAATGAAATCTGGATAAACAGATGACACGTCCAACTATTAGAATCATAAGAGGAGCCAGAAGAATAACCAATTTTTTGCATCCACTAGTAAAAAAGAATATAACCATTTATTTATCCATAAAGTACAGACACACACACACACACACACACACACACAAGGCTAGAGGAGTTATGCAAAACCAGAAACAAAAATTGATATTAATTTTGAGTTGTCTCAAGGTCAAGCAAACATATATAAAGTGCTCGCTTTAAAGTTGAAAAAAAAAATGATATTATTTTTTAGTTGTCTCTAGATCAAGCAAACATATATAAAGTGCTCGCTTTAAAGTTGACTCTCTTAGGTCATAGAATCAAACACAACCAGAAAACATAGACATTAGCAAGCATTTTATAAAAGAAAAAGAAAAAGAAAAAGAAACCAAAAAAACAATAAAATCAACTACCACAAGTAAAGAGTGGGGAATACCTACAAAAGATAAATAGAAATAAGACTCCAATCTAGATAAGTCCATATGATTGATCCAGGTACTTGGGATCCTATGGATGAAGACATGATCTCTCTGGATCCTATTGAATTTAATTCGGAGGAGGAACCTTATAAAGATCGTATTGATTCTTATCAAAGAAAGACGGGATTAACGGAGGCTGTTCAAACAGGTACAGGTAAACTAAACGGCATTCCCGTAGCAATTGGGGTTATGGATTTTCAGTTTATGGGGGGTAGTATAGGATCTGCAGTGGGCGAGAAAATTACACGTTTGATCGAGTATGCTACCAATCAATCTTTACCTCTTATTCTAGTAAGGACAACAGAACCTACAACAATTAATAATTATAATACGACTTAAAATTTCACCACTATGACCAACTGGTTCTCCTCAAAGTTTCAATTGTTATCTAACAGAAACAACCATATACAGAAGGTTCCAGTTACAATACCTTATACAGGAGCATTTCCCCATGTTCACAACGTTCATTATCAGGAGGAAAATCATCTTCCAGCATTCCTTCATACGCTTCAAGAATTTCAACTGCTTTCAAAGCGCTTAGAAGAAAAAATAAAAAATGTTTTAGCGTAGGCAACATAAACGTCAAATTAATCGCATAAAAGATAAGGCCAACAAAAATATGGTTACATGCTAAAAAACTTGAGGAATTAAAAAGGTTAAAAGAACAAAAACTAACGAAAAGGAGACACTTTTAATTTTTTGAACAACTAATAGGACGCCTATATTGCCACAAGTAAGAGAATAGAACCATAAATGTATTCTCCAAATTTCAGACGACGGTCAAAGCACAAACTTCGACTTATTGGATAATTTAATTAAAAAAGGTTTGACAATCTAAAATTCAATATGATTCATGATTGTTTAGTACTAGTACTGTATTAGAATAACTCATTCAGAGGGAATGATAATGAAAGCTAAGTAATAGAGGAAAAAGGAAAGCGCTAAGTAATAGGGAAAAAAGGAAAGCGCTAAGTAATAGGGGATAAGAAAAAAGCTAAGTAATAGTTTGTTGATAAAAAGGATCAAATTATACTTTGAGTTTAAATGGTGGGCAACAGCGAAGCCAGTCCAATTCATACGATGATTTGGTTTTAGAGTCCGGAGCTGTTGTCTTGTTGTCTCAACAAAACCTGATACACAGCCATCATTAGCTGAAACAACACAAGAAAAATAACATAACTAAGTAAAGAAATATACTAAAGAGAAGGCACTACAACAGAGACTGATAACGTCACAATTGACAAATATGATATTAAGATATATAGCTACAGCCTACATTTAACAAGTGAGCTTTAAACACCAGGAGCGGAAGGGAGAGGGAGATCGGAAGGAAATTCAATTAACATCCCTGTGCACCACTTTGGGTTCCAAGCCTTCAAGCAAATAGACCAGCCTGTACAGTACCAATAACCATAAGCCAGTGAATGAAAAACTAAACCACTAAAGGAATCAGTGCAAAAGAGAGCAACCGAGCCCTCCCCTTTGGCCATTACAAAGAGACTGACAACTGAGCTACAGAAATCTACTGATATTCAATTTAGATCCTGATGTTACTTGTTAGCAATATATTAAATGCTACCTTAGAAGTAAGAAATTGCAAGTAAAAGAAAGCAAGAATGTAGTTAAAAGCATCAAGATTTCTTGGCCACCAAAAAGAATGAAAATATGAGAGAAAATTGAGCAACTGCCTGGTGAGCAAAGAAGATAAGTTGAGCTGCTGTCTTAAGTATAATTATGTTAAAAATATATCTTAGGAACTTACGAGCACATGCACGCACTATAGAGTTCACATAATCTGATTTTCTGGAGAAGACCTTACCCGGAGTTTCAGCATAACACATATTTGGCTGACTACGAATCATTTTTACATCAGTCTACATAAGACGCGAAGGGAGACAAATTACAACGTGTCTAGGCATAGAACTTAATGGAATAATAAAGGTAGCAGTAGCACCACGAACTGGGTAAAAGGACGGTAGGGATCTGGAAAATAGCAAGCAAGGACAGCAACAGCTGCTTCGCTGTATGCCAACCTCAGTTTTAATTGCTCTGGGATTTCAGTACTATCTTCCTGACCTGTTTAAAAGGTGCCTTTTTGCTGCAAAATTGGATAGAAAGTAGGAATAACGATATCAGGCCACAAGTTGGGCTAAAAAGTATAAAAATAAGAAAAGGCATAATCTAGCACAGATATGGAGATATGTGCCTAGAAGGCATCGACCCAAAACAAAGCCTCTAGCAGCTCATCTCGTCCAATGTAATCTAAATCCTTTCTTGCAGCCAAAATTCCACCTTCATTCCTGTCATTAAATTGAGAAATAATAAAATATAAGCATCTTTCTTTCTTGGTAAAAGAACAAAATAGACATTGTGGATTATGCACTTACAATACGTTCTGCAGTTCAGCACCAGTAAAATCCTCTGTAAGCTCTGCAACTTCCTGAAGAAGTGCTTCCTTCTCTGCCTCGGTTATTTCTAGCATGCACATGTCATGCTCAAAAGGTTCTTTGTTGTAAAGAAATACAAACTTGAGATTGTAAGGTCCTATAAGAAAAAAACAGAATTAAGCACTATACCTTTAAAATGGCCAATCTACCATCCTTAGATGGCAAACCAACTCTTATAATCTTGTCAAAACGGCCCTTCCACAATAAAGCAAGATCGAGAATATCCAGTCTATTTGTAGCACCTATAACCAGCACCTAACAAACCAAGTTAAACAGTCAAGCAAACTGTCTTTCTTTTTTTCTTTTAATTAAATTGGGATTAAGATTTGTTGTTGTTGTAATAAGATAACCCTCTTTAATCCAAGAATGGTTGCAAATATACCTGTGACGTAGAAACTTTAAATCCATCCATCTCTATCAATATTTGAAGTAGACCTTGTTCCCTTTCTGCACCACCCTGTACAATGAAGTCAGAAGTTGTACTCGTATCAATAACCCTCTTTAATCCAAGAATGGTTGCAACCGCACATTTGCTCCATTTCCTCAGGTGAGGAAACATGCAACAGCACGTTTCCCCTCCCTTTCCTTTTTTTTTTTTTTTTTTTTTTAGGAAACGTGCACGTTTCCTTCCTTTTATTTATATATATATATATATATATTAACGGGGAAGAAGAAGGAAATGTGGAGAAAGAAAAAAAATCTCTCTAAATTCATCCATATTAATTTAAAACAATTTTAAATTAATTTTAATATTAATTAATTAATATGTGTATTTAGAATTCTCAATTCTATATTAATAATCATAACTCAATATGATATATTCAGTTCACATTAATCTTATGGAGCCATTGAGATGAACTATGGACATTATAATTTTAAGCTCCAATAATTTTGACAATTAATTAACACCTTAATTAATATGTCAAAATTATTAATTCCAAATTACTCCACTATAAATTTGGAATTGCACTCTCAAAATAATAAAACAATTGTGTTCACGGAATTTGTGTTGTCCATTGATATAGTCACTACATACGAATTAATCCTCCATAAGCGGTTCATAATTAAAGCTAGGTATTTTTCATTAACCTCTTTAATTATATCTTTCTCTATAAGTACCATTGATCCTCTAATGAATAATATATTTTATGATCCAATCATAAAATTAAGCGCTCTTATTATTCAAGTCCCGAATCAACACTTATGGGAACCGTCCATCTACTTCATTATAAAGGAATGGATTTCATCTTATAAATTAATATTCCCGGCTATTTATTTTACTATGCTCCCAATATACCAAGACTTTGACACTATTCACATGTGTCATTACTCAATATGTCAAAGAACATAATATCATAAATAGGAGTTTATTAATTACTCAGAATTAAGATTAATACATATATGACCATCATTGATTAACATTGAATACTGTATTTAATAACAAAATTTATTAGAGATTCATAATTAATCGCGTTCCAGTCCTATGTAATCATATTACATAAAATGCTTTCATTCCAATAATCTCATTATTAACAATCTAGGATAAGATTGTTTCATTCAAAATGTAATGAACCGCATTAGTAATTTTAAATTAAAGATCACAACTTTAATTTATAATTACGGACAAGTTTAGATTATTTTATTTCAAACATTATCCTCTACATATAACAATTATATACAATGTTTAAAGTTACACCAAAAATAATCTAGGGATTTTGATATTTATAAAACATCACATGTATGCAAAATAATATTGAAAAATTCCTCATTTCATTGATAATCAGTAAAATATTTACATCTTATTTGATTTATGGGCATATATCCCAACATCAACAAGTTGAGATCATTCAAAAACCTGACAACTTGCTTCACCAATCGCTTGACTTCGCTCGACGAATGCTTCCTCAACCGATTCACATGTCTCCCAATATCCGTTTCCTACAAATCACAATTCCATATGTGAAAAATTTTTACAATAAAAAAAAAATACAAGACGATAAAACGAAATTACCTTGAGAGCTTGGAATGTTATATCCATATCAGTAAGACTCTGAAGCAATTTCACCAATGTATCTTCAGACTGCCAAAGAAATTCAAAACGTAAAATCCGAAACGAAAAGGAATTAATTAATTAAATTAGAAGAAAAAACGAATAAAAATAAGGAGTAGAAGTAGGACCTGGTTAGAATCTTCAAGTTGCTCCTTGATTTCTAGAATCTTCTTCTTCTTTTCAAGCATGAAAACACTTTTCCTGCTCAAAATATACGCATACACAGACATATACACGTGCTTATATTTATATAAAATGTTATGTACAAGCGACTACATTAATTTACATTTTTTACTTTTGGTATTGTGATTGGTTTACCTTGACTTCTGCTACCTAAGCTTTTCTTTTATATAAAGGTTTTCCAATGCTGATTTAAACATTTTTAAGAGGTTGCATTCAAGTTGGTCATGCGCACAAATTTTCCGAGTAGAGTCTTTCAATTTTAACTTCTTTTAAAGTGTGTTTATACTTTATCGTAATTGTAAACTTCAACTTTATTCTTTTATTTAATAAACTAAAAACTACGGGCATATGCAGTTTAGGTTCGTGAACTGAGAGAAATTCGTGTGCAGTTTGTATTGAACATTTTAGAATTAAAAGCCTCATGCATAAGGCAAAAGTTAGATTAAATATGGCCAAGTTTAGTTCTCATTTACATTTGTGCTCGACAAATGACCGCAACTACACCATTCGTAACTTGAGTTTTTTGTTTTTCATTAGAGAGAGAGAGAGAGAGAGCAACTACACCATTCGTAACTTGAGTTTTCTGTTTTTCATTAGAGAGAGAGAGAGAGAGAGAGAGAGAGTTCTAAGGAAAAGTATAAAAAAAGTAGATATTTGTTTGATGTAATTTGACTAGATCTATCGTGGAAAAATATGTATTACTGGTCGGAATGCACCAACCCCCCACAACCTCTTATGCCTTATCTTACCAAGTACGTACTTTCTAGCAAATATAAAATGAACATTTATTATGTTATTGTACTTTTGAGTTTTTTTATTTTTTGAGTTTATTAAAATATATACATATCCCAAATTTTGAATGTCCTTATGATTATGACAAAATCTTTAAAACGGCACCTATTATTTACCGAATTAAAATGACAGTTGTATAATTTAGTATAAATCGTGTATATTTACATGTAAAGATGTCTAATTAAGTATAAGTTTTGTATATTTATACGTCGTACAATTCAATATATGTCTTGTACAATTTAGTATATAAAAGTTGTATAATTGTAAATATGTATAAGTTGTATAACAAATTGTATAATTTATCATATATCTTGTATATTTACATACGGTTGTTGTACAATTCATTATAAATTTTGTATAATGTCTTCCGCCGGATCAGTCAGGCAAATTGTGCCTGCCCAACGGAAGACATTTCCATGATTATAGCTCAGTGTTTTAATTTTATATTAAAAATGTACAGGTCGTCTACAATTGCTTTTTACCCATGAACTGAATGTAATTAAAGTGGGGCAATGTAAAAACTCTACATTTAAAAATTTTATGTAATTTTTACAATTAGAAGACTTAAAGTGGGGCAATGTCGTTCCATCTAGTGTTCCCAAAATCATTTGCAATGTGGCAATTCTAGTCAAATTTTCAAAACAATAGCAATTAAATGTAAGAGTTATTAGGTTAAACTTTAAAGGAAATAATTATATTGAAGTTGAACCCTACGTTTCTCGAGATTATATTTTTAACAATTGGAGTTAAGAGCTACAATTCAGTAATGGGTTCTCAAATACAAAAAGTTTAAATTATGTGTTAAAAACCTAAAATAAAAAATATTTTACTGCAGGTATCTAGCGTTACTAACGATAATACACGAGCAAAAACGAAGGAAAATGATTATGCGTGGATACTATTGCATTAAAAGATGGAAATAAGTGAAGATGGCAACAACCAACTACCAGATCCGAAAGGAAAAGAAAGAGAAATAAAAACAGCCACCTAATTGAAACAAGTTTAGAAGGATTACGACAAGAGCGCTACCTGTCAATATTTCATTATGTTGTCTATCAATCAAAGACAGAAGAAAGGGCAAAAAATAAAAATAAAAATAAAATAAAATAAAATAAAAGAAAAGAAGGAAAGAAAGAAGAGGCAAGGCTTCCGTTATGTGTCTATCAATCAAAGACAGAAGAAAGGGCAAAAAATAAAAATAAAATAAAAGAAAATAAAAGAAAAGAAGGAAAGAAAGAAGAGGCAAGGCTTCCGTTATGTAATCTTTAAAGGGGAAAAAAAAAAAGGAAACATAATGAAACATCCGTACCTATGTTCTATAATCTAGTAACAGTGAAGACAAACAAATTATCGCCAATATGAATTTTTAATGAAATTGTACCACCGTTGTTATTTAGTAGAAAGCAAAAAATAATTAATCACTAATCTTACAAAATATTCAAAATTTTCACAAGACGAAGAAAAGGGGAAGACAAAAAGAATCATATAAAAGGATGAATGACAGGTTTTCCTTGATTTCAAGTGCGAAAGAATATGCACATCTGGTTTGTGAATGGAGAATTTCTATATTTTCGTGTATGATTGGAGGACATACAAAATGGCTAATCCATAAATGCAACCTCCGAATTACTTCCATGCAACTGAATCAATCTCATCTCTGGCTGACTTGTACAGCTCGAGCCGTTTAGCAATGGTTGCTCTCCTTTCCATCAATGCCGGGTCCTCATCCAACATTGCACTAAGCCTCTCTTTCTGCACATACACATTCAAAATCTCTTTCTAAGTAGCATATTTCCTTATAATAACACTAACAGTTAGATGCCAACTACAGATTAATGTGCTTTGAATTGTAGCCCTGCCTTTTTCATGTTTGGCAAATAATGCTTATAAGTATAACCATCCAAGTCTCATATCATGAAATCATATCGTCCTAGTCAATTAGGTAGAGCAGTTCTCCAGTGTATTGTCAAGAATAAGATTGAAAAAATACTACGTTCTTGGAGTAAATCAGTTTGTCATAGAGTACTTTCTTTTTTTCTTTTTTTTTTTCATAAAGATACCTCTCCAATATCTTTGTAGTAGCTGCTTATGTACCATTGCATCATCATGTATAGAACAGTGCTATGATTTGACTCGATAAGAATTCAAGATAAAACGGTTTCTTATCCTCGACGTTTCCCTTCAGCCACAAAAATTATAAAATTTTCAAAGCTTTTTAACGTTTTAACCTTGGTATGTTTGTTGTAGCTTTTCTTTCCCTGCTCACCTCAAGCTAATATTGTAGTCCTTTACATGAAAAAGTAATAATAACATAAGGAATGGAAAGAGAAGATGCACTTTCCATTATAATTTTTTCTAGTTTAGGGAACTTTTGGATTTCTTTATTCAATGTAACTTTAATCATATTCTTCTGTAGATCCAATATTGCTGACGTCTTTCATATTGAACATCTTTGATGGACCAGCCAGAGAATGGATTTCAGGTGCAAAAGTCAGGTATAAGCAACATGTTCAAAATGGAATGAGATTGGGAAACCTTACCTCTCTTCTCCCAACTTGGGCATAGAAGTGGCTGAGCAGTGATCTCTTGGCCTCTCGAACTTGACAGTAAACCACAGCCTTCGGAATTGAGTTCTTCAGTGTGTCACAAACCATGTTAATATAAGCGCTGACATTCGACCCTGATACATATTTCAGAATCTGTTTCAGCAATCTTAATTAATCTATTTTCCTAGTGGAGTTATATTTACGTGCATGTTAACAGCAACTAACATCTAGCAAATCGACAAATGAGCACCAGTTTTGAAAAGCATGAACAGTAATGCTTTAACACTAAACAAACAAAACTTGCTCTAGAAGAGAAGAGAAACCAAGCTGCATGCACATATTTCACGTGATTGCTAACTGTTGAGATCTAGCATAATATATTCAACCGGTCATGAAGCAAGCATAAAATGTCATACCAATCCTTCTGAAATGGTTATCTGCGTAACGGTCTGCATTTGGTCCTGTTGGATTGGGATTCTTCTCAGGTTCAAGATGAAGTTTTCGGAAAAATTCAACAGTTAGGTAGCTAGACTCCATATCCACCAGTCTTAAAACTGTTTTCCTGCTGTCTTCACGAAATCTTTCTAATGCTTCTGTTGCAGCAGCTGCTATGTCAGATTGAAGTGTAGGAAATCTTTTTAGTTCCTGTAATAATCATTAACATAACTAGTCAAATTCTGTCGATATTTTGAAAATCTGAAGGGACAATAATAAATTTCCAAGGCTGCCTCCCATTCTAGGTCAGTATGCCTGTACTTGCTATGTCACAAGTTCAATCACCGAGTTAAAGCAACTCGGGTATCATTTAGTAAATTATGTAACAAATTATGATGATTAATTTTTTTTTATAAGATGTAGCAAATTATGATGATTAATTTGCAAAACAAATAAGAAAACATACCATATTCTGTTTTTTTTTTTTTTTGCTTCAAGGACACAACAGCACAATTGTTATTATTTTTCACCGTTCTACAACACGTAAAGGTTTTGGTGTCAACTTTCTCGCGGGAGGAAAAGAAAGAGAGTGCTACTCAAACCAGTTGACGAAGCATTATCTTGAAAAAACTTGGTTCAATGTGACAGACCGTTACAAAAGCTAGAATGGTTCCCCCTTTCTTTTTCTTTTTTTTCTTTTCTTTAAGGAAAAACAACAACAAACAGAAAAACTATTTTACCTCAGTTTCAGCAATTGACTTCCGTACAAGTTCTTTTAAAACATGGTGCACCTGACAAGAGACAATAGAAAAAATAAATTATTAAGGAAGATGAAAACATAATGATAGCAGTGAGAACTCTGTTTTATCCACCGAAATATCAGCCTTGTATCACTTCTTTTTTCTTTTTCTACTCCTGAAATGCCAAAAACGATTTATAAAAAGTAATATTGTTTGATAGTACAATGGCATAGCCAATATTACCGCATCAACAGACGCTTCAGCAGGTCCTTTGAAGAAACCAATGGATCCATCAATGAGCCTTCTGTACCCCTGTTCTGGAGCAATTAAGTGGGGTTGATAACCATCAGCCTCTGAAACAACTCTCTGGACATTTTTAGTAGAGAGATGTCGGTCAAAAGGGAGTTTTTTCAAAGCAGCTGGTAACTGATGATCAAAAACTCCATATATTCGATCTCCACCAGGTCGCCTGAAGTGCCAGTGCACATTTAGTTTAACATATTGTATCCCCCTTGCTAGTTGTTGCATCAAGTCATTTTTTTGTTTTTTAAGTCTATATTTAATAAAAGTAGATAGAAAAGATTAAAAAAAAAAACCCTCCGTTGCTTCAATAATTCTCTTCAGAGAATTAACTGTTAAGAGTAGGAATTATTAAAAGAATACCTTAAAAACAGAGCGCCATAGATATATAAGCATTTAAATTTACGTCAATTTTTATATGACCTTAATTGAATTTTGTCTTTTATTTCTTTTTAGATTTCAATGCGTCATTTTTTTTTTCTTGAAATACAAAACTTTACACCCCACATTGGCAGCAATTTTTAGCTTTTTACGGACTCAATTAAATGGTTCTCTGTATCATCAAAGACCCACAACTGATATGAGATATTAGTTGTTACCATCAAAAGTTCATAAAATATTTTCCTTTATGACCAGTCAGGTGATTAGAGGGCAAGGAACGAGTCGAATGAGAATTCAAAATGGATAATTCTGCTAAGACCTGGGCATGAGCAGGATGGTATGTTCTATCTATCTTATCTTTTTCTGTATCCACTCAAGTTTGGTTTAGAAACTCATCAAATGAGGTAAAATGTATATTGAAAATGAAATTTGTTATCCCATTGGAAAACCACGCAGCCTTACTCTTTTGCCAAAACACATATTAAATGCTAAGCAAAAAGTTGGACATACCCTCCATCTAAGTGCTCCTTGAACACACGGTCAAAAGCCCGACACAGTTCTAAAATTGTGTAGAGCTGGGCCTGCAATGCCGTCATACAATTAAATTCAATTGGATTATGCAAGTTCATTCAGAAGCAAGAAAGAGATCAAGGTCAAAATCTTTACCCCAGAGTCTACTGCAATTGGCCTGCCAATACGATCCAGCTCTGCATTAAGCTCATCAATGGTTTTATTGATTAAAGAAATGATACTTGGTATACGCTGCCTGATGACATTCTCCAAATGCTGAAGACAGGGAGAAAGAATAAGGAAGAGAGTAGTTGGAGGAAGACAACGTAACTTTTTGAAAAGTAAGGTTATACAAGAATACAAAGAGATACAACATTAGTATCTTATGGATAGAATTCGACCTTAGATAAGAGCTTAGCAAGATATTCTGCCCCCATCTTATGTGCCAAGTGTCCATACTCAGGACTAGTCTGAAAGTATTCCCGTTCCTTTCTCCGAGCAGCCATCATATCGACATTCTTGTTAATGTCGGCCTGCGAACGGTTCACAATTCCAACCCATGGATGTTGCAGCCTGTACGATCTTCCTTCAAGAACCTTAAAAATTCATCACCAAACATTATGGCTTGACCAGTTCTGATCGAATGCGATAACATCCAAAAGATTGTTAGCATAACATAACTAACCAAACTGTATTGTATGCATGCATGTATATGTGATTATGTGCATATATGTACAGTGTGTGATAAGTAACTTTAACGCATGAATGACATAAAAGTAACAATAAGAGAAACTGAAGAACCAGAAGTTAACCAAATACAGCAGGAAGGCCTAAAGCTAACAAAATAGCCTTCCAATCTGATGAATGAAGAAAAATGGAATATTCTGAAATTCTATAGACAGAGACTCCTACATAGACTAATAAGCAGGAAATGAAAGTTAAAATTTCTCTGACTAATTTCTAAAATCAGGATTTGGATACATACATCCACTGCATTGGTTCCCTTGTCCATTAGATCAAGTTTCGTTAGCACCCCAAATGTTCTTTCACCTGAAAATATCAATTCATAAGTGGAGGAGATTGATTGCTTTTACCGAACCAAATGAAAAGTGTACGAGATCCAAAAAGAAAAAGTATTCTAGAAAATATGATAGTTCATATTACATGTAGGATCAACTTCTCTTGCAAGTTTTATAGCATCTGACGTAGCAATATCTTGATTTGCAGGAGATATAGCCAATATGATGCAGTTAGGCTGCAAAACAGAGAAGTCCATAACTGTATGAAAAAAGAAAGGAAAAAAAAAATTTGAACCTTTTTTAGTATTGACTGAATAGTTTTTAGCTTCTTTGTGTATTATTGAAAAACAAAAAAGAAAGGATTATCATCACTGGTCCCCCCGGAACTCTAAAAACTCTTACTTTGCCCCTTGAACTTTGAACTGCTTCCACTTAACCCCTTCTGTGTAATTTTTGTTAAAAATATATAGAAAAAAAGAGAGTGATTGATTTTAACAGAAATTCTTATAAAAAGGCTTAAATGGTACAAATTCAAAGTTTGGGGGGCAAAGTGAGAGTTTTCGAAGTTTAGGGGCCAAAGTGAGAATGACTTCACAGTTCAAGGGACATCAGTGAGATTAATTCAAAAAGAAAAGGAAAGAAAGGAAAGATAGAAGGGTTATTAGCCCCCTGAACTTTGGGATTGCCTCCACTTTATCCCGTGAACTTTAAATGTTCCCACTATACTACTTCAAACTTTTAGTGTTCAGGAGGCAAAGCGGGGGCAACCCCAAAGTTCAGGAGGCATGGGAACTAATAACACAAGAACGACAGATTATTAATGGAAATACATGGTCAATAAATGCTTTTCTACAAATGGTAAACCAAAAGCATTCAAGCGAAAAATCACCAAATGCATAAAATAGATCACTGACATAAATGTGTAACTAATACTACATGGTTATAAAACCCCCCGACCTCTAGCACCCAATTCAATCCTACTAAAATTTGATTGGCTTTAACTGCTTTTTCTAATAATCGGTAGCCAGAAGCATTCAAACAAAAAATCACCAAATGCATAAATAGATCCCTGCATAGAGTGTAGCACTACATGGTTTTTATAACTCTCCCCATCTCTTCCATCCAATCCTACCAAGATTTGATTGGTTTTAACTCCTTTTTCTAATAAACATACGTATACTCTCTAATACAGATATATAGATGGGGGTAGACCTAGTCTTTTTCAATGTATATAAACACAAACACCATAAATTTTAAACACGAATGAAGGGGTGTAAAAAATATCCAATCACTTTGCTGCTCTGAAAAAGCCGAATTCAGCAACTTCAATGAATATTATATGGAGGTTGAATCTTTCGTCCTCAATTTCCATTTCATTTCATGGGGCATTTGACTTAGTAGATAATCTTTATGATCTTCCTCAAAGCATGGTAGCAAAGGTTGTGATACAGGATTTGTGAGATAATTTTGGAGGTGATGAGCAACAAATTTTTGAGAGATCAGGTCAAACATTTTCAAAACACTATTTCCGGCAGTAGCAAGAAAATCACCATTTCCTAACTTCATAAAAATAAATGTTCTTTTTCTTTGAAGAAACTTTACATCATGCCTTGTACTAGATTTTTCTTAATCCATCAATTGGAATTTGGTGTAAGCCGTAGCATGGTTGATTTCTTCAGATCTCATTTGTCACATGATACTCCAGGCTTAAACCGAGCATTGCCAGCTAATATTTTCAAGTTAAACAAAAAGATAAAAAGCATCATGTATCATATCCTCACCTTCTCAACATAAGAGCGGACCATATTTTCAATATCTTCAACAATACTGTCCGGTTGTCCCTCTGCAAGACACAAAATTTAACACCAAATCTCCTACAAATCCACTAGTTTTATAATATAAAGAACGCAAATTTCATTGTCTTTGACTAAACCAGATAAGATAGATCATAAGAGAGAGAAAAAGAGTACAGTTATTACCTACAGCAACCTTTGTCAATCCAGGAAGATCTATGAGGGTCAAGTTTACAACTGCAAGAGAAAACATAATCTTAGTCAGCACACCATTCCAATAGCATGGAATTAAAAAATTTCGTGAAAAAGTAAAAACAAAACAAGGACTGTAAGTGTAAGTTAATCAGCTGACGTGAATGTCTATGCAACAATTTAATACAACGAGCACAACTATTCGTCATTTTTTTTTAACAGTTTGTAAATCTGCAGCCGGAGGGCAGAAGTTAGACAACCCTAAAAATAGCCCTTTTGTTTAGTATGTAGAGAGATTGCATGTTTTCAATGCACCAAAGCATCACAAAACAAACTTTAGAAAGAGAAAAAAAAAAAAAAAAGGCACATAATATGGAAAGAACGATTTTTGTTTACTATGTTAGTTTCACTTGAAATATTTCATTCAAATGCTACTAGTGGAAATGAAAACACAAACCATTTGGAGAGTATATGCTGAGATGAATTGGATGGTTAGAGATTTGCTTTGTTTTGCCAGTTATACGATCCGTCTCATCCTGGATCTCCTTTCTCACAGCAGCTGAAGAAGTAAAGGACGTAAATCAAATAACATACTAAAAATAAAAAGCATAGTTTATAAAATACCTCTTAATAAGCAATACATGTCTTAATCAAAGAGATAATTTTCCAGTCAAAGTTGACTTGCCAAAATCAGTAAACTTCTTTCTAGGAGCATGAAGAAATTCTGCATACTCCGCCTGCCCCTCATTTGTCTGATGAAGTTGCAATACCAATGGCCTCCGCGTAACAATACCTTCCAATCAAAGAAAGTTAGTTAGAATAAATTAAGGAGTGCATAGAGAAAACCTATACGCAAATCTATGTGATTAAAGCATCTTCAGGCTGGTAAAACAGAATAAAAAAATTCATGCTACCAATTAGAATGTTATATTCAATTGAAAGAAAAACCACCGCTTGCGTGCTGAGAAAGACTAGGAAACTTGAAAAGAAACCCACAAACAAACATTTCCACACAAAAAAAAAAAAAAGAAAAAAAAAAACAAGAAGAAGAAGCAAGCTTTAGTTTATTCCATTACCGAGCTCGATACATTAGGGTTGTTCTTTTGTATTTTTGAGTTAGAGTGATTTGAGTGATGATTTTGAGTTGAGTTTGAGTTATAACTTGAGTTGAAGTTGTAATTTGAATTATGATTTGAATTGAGAATCTTTTTTAGTGTGTTTGGGTGGGTCAAAACTTAAATTTACATTTAAATAGTATTTTAATAAAAACTCAATGGTGATAAAAATTTTTAATAGGGTATATGGGTGGGATTTTATTCATCTGACAACCTTTTCGTTGTCAATGCATAGAAAAAAAATCATCTCAATCAAAATTAAAACGAAAAAGTTATGATATTTTTAATAATAGAAAAAAATATTGTTCATCAATTTGAATTCGAGTTTCCGAACTCGAGTTGAAGGAAAAATTTGAACTCGAGTTTAGTCCCAAACTCGAGTTCAAATTCGAGTTCAAACTCGAGTTCAAACTCAAATTTTATAAAAGAACATGAACTTGAATAAAGTTATAACTCGAGTTGAAACTTTTTTTGAGTTTTGATGCAATATGTCGCGAACAAATTAAACTGACGAATAAACCGCATTGACATTTCACATTTCCCTTATTTTCTTAGCAAACAATCACAAAGCAAACAAAAATTATACAGGAAAAGAAAATAAATCGATACCAGATCCACGAGGCAAGAAATCCCTCCCCACCACGCTTTCCAACACCGAAGATTTCCCGGAACTCTGTTTTTTTCACATCAAGAAAAAAAATAGGGCATTACAACGCCAAGAAAGAAATCCCTAGAAATCAATCACAAAATCATCAAATCTGGGAATTTTGAGATGTAAATGAAACCTGGCCTCCGACAACGGCAACCGAAGGCAGAGCTTCCCAGAGGGACATTCCCTCGCCGCCATGGTCGCCTAAGACGGTGCAAGCTCGCTGGATTCTGTTGACGAGACCGATCAAGCTCTGCATTGTCGCCATTTTTGGGGAAGGAATTGAAGGCGATGAAGATCTACGCTACGAATCTATCGATCTAAAATTAGAAATAAAATGCGAGAAGCGATCTGAAGAGAGAATGTGAGATCGAGAAAGCTGGATTCGTTTTCAGAGCATTAATTGATCCGAGTTTGGGTGAAGAGATCGAATCTGAGAGAGAGAGAGAGAGAGAGTAAACGGAAAAAGAAAACAGTTGTTATGGAGATTGTTGCATGTAGTTTTGAGTAGTTACGTATTTTAGAGCAAAGATTTTCATGTGTGTCGAAAATGAGAAATTTTGATGAAAGAGACAGGAAGAAAATAGAAATTGGGAATTAGATCATTTTTTTTCATAACAAAAAATTATCGATGTGTATTTTACGTGTTAAAAAATGTACCATATTTTAATTTATGTATACATTTTATTTTTTTTTCTCTCAAAATTAAACAGATTCTCACCCCGACTGACCATTTTTTTTTTTTTTTTTCCTTTTTCCTTCCATTCCTTCCTTGCCCAGACCCCCTTTTCTCTCTCTCTCTCCTATAGTTCTCACCGACCACCCTAATGTTGAACGACCTTCCCCAAACGCCGACCGATCATCACGAACACTGACTGACCATCCCGAACGCCGACCGACCCTCTAGAACTCCGACCCGACCCTCTCGAACGCCAACCGACCAACCCCAACGCTGACCGACCATTTCCACCCCAACGCCGACCAACCTTCCCCAAACGCCGACCAATCCTCACGAACACTGATTGACCATCCTAAACGCCGACCGACCAACCCCAACGCCGACCGACCATTTCCACCGACCCTCCGAACGCTGACCCGACCAGAACACCCACACCTCCAGACCATAACTGAAAGGGCATCACAAAACAGCTCTTCTTCCTCAACTAAGACGGTTATTTCCAGAACTCAAGTCGACGAGGCAACAGAATCTGCTCTCCCTCAAGTAACACTAAGATTTTATTCTCTGAATTAACATTAAGGTTTTATTCTTGTTTTATTTTTTTCAAAACAAACCAAGAACAGACCAGTAACCGGCCGAACAGAACAAAACGCATTAAGAACAAATCAATAACAGACCAAGAACCGATCACCAGACTACGAACAGACCAAGAACCGACCACCAAACCAAGAACAGACCAAGAACCGACCACCAGACCAAGAACAGACTAAGAACCGATTGACCAGACCAAGAACAGACCAATAACAAACTCTAATAAAACATTAAAAACATACATTTTTACATATATTTTGATTTTTTGGTATGAATAACCATTGTAATTTATAAAAGAGACAAAAATTTGGTAAAAAAAGAAAAACCCAAGAACAGACCAAGAATCGACAACACTTTATCAAGAATAGACAATGATGTTTGTTTTTTTTTTTTGGAAAGCTTCGAACTAGTCCCGAAGATTGGAGAGACATTTAATTTATAAAAGAGAAAAAAAATTTGGTAAAAAAAGAAAAAACCAAAAACAGACTAAGAACCGACAACACTTGACCAAGAATACACAATGATGTTTTTTCTTTTTTTGGAAAGCTTCGAATTAGTCTCGAAGATTTTAGAGACATTTAATTTATAAAAGAGAAAAAAAAATTAGTAAAAAAAGAAAAAATCAAGAACAGACCAAAAACAGACAACACTTGACCAAGAATAGATAGTGATTTTTTTTTTTGGAAAGCTTCAAACTAGTCTCGAAGATTGGAGAGACATTTAATTTATAAAAGATAAAAAAAATTTAGTAAAATATTTAAAAACCAAGAACAGACCAAGAACCGACAACACTTGACCAAGAATAGACAATGATGTTGTTTTTTTTTCCGGAAAGCTTCAAACTAGTCCCGAAGATTGGAAAGACATTTAATTTATAAAAGAGAAAAAAAATTGGTAAAAAAAGAAAAAACCAATAACAGACTAAGAACTGACAACACTTGACCAAGAATAGATAGTGATATTTTTTTTTTGAAAAGCTTTGAACTAGTCCCGAAGATTGGAGAGACATTTATTTTATAAAAGAGAAAAAAATTGGTAAAATATGAAAAAACCAATAACAGACTAAGAACATACCAAGAACCGACAACACATGACCAAGAATAGACAATGATGTTGTGTTTTTTTTGGAAAGCTTCGAACTAGTCCCGAATATTGGAGAGACATTTAATTTATAAAAGAGAAAAAAAATTGTTAAAATATTAAAAAATCAAGAACAGACTAAGAATAGACCAAGAACAGACCAAAAACCGACAACACTTGATCAAGAATAGGCAATGATGTTGTTTTTTTTTTTAAAGCTTCGAACTAGTCCCGAAGATTGGAGAGACATTTAATTTATAAAAGAGAAAAAAAATTTGGTAAAAAAAGAAAAAACCAAGAACATACCAAGAACTGACAACACTTGACCAAGAATAGATAGTGATGTCTTTTTTTTTTTTGGAAAACTTCGAACTAGTCCCGAAGATTGGAGAGACATTTAATTTATAAAAGAAAAAAATGGTAAAATATTAAAAAACCAAGAACAGACTAAGAACAGACCAAGAACAGACTAAGAACGGACCAAGAACCGACAACACTTGACTAAGAATAGACAATGATGTTGTTTTTTTTTTTTTTTGGAAAGCTTCGAGCTAGTCCCGAAGATTAGAGAGACATTTAATTTATAAAAGAGAAAAAAAATTTGGTAAAAAAAGAAAAAACCAAGAACAGACCAAGAACCGACAATACTTGACCAAGAATAGATAGTGATGTTTTTTTTTTTGGAAAGCTTCGAACTAGTCCCGAAGATTGGGGAGACATTTAATTTATAAAAGAGAAAAAAAAATTGGTAAAATATTAAAAAACCAAGAACAGACTAAGAACAGACCAAGAACCGACAACACTTGACCAAGAATAGACAATGATGTTGTGTTTTTTTTTAAAGCTTCGAACTAGTCTCGAAGATTGGAGAGATATTTAATTTATTAAAGAGAAAAAAATTGGTAAAAAATGAAAAAACTAAGAACAAACCAAGAACATCTTGGTTTTTCCTCTTTTTACCAATATTTTTTTTTCTCTTTTATAAATTACAATGGTTATTAATACCCAAAAAATTAAAAAATATGTAAAAATGTATGTTTTTAATGTTTTATTAGAGTTTGTTATTGGTTTGTTTTTGGTATGGTCGGTCTGTTCTTAGTCTGGTGGTCAGTTCTTGGTCTATTCTTGGTCTGCTGGTTTGTTCTTGGTCTGGTGGTCGGTTCTTGGTTTGTTATTGGTCTGGTCGGTCTGTTCTTGGTCTGGTGGTCGGTTCTTAGTCTGGTCAGTCGGTTATTGATGACGTGGAATAGTTGATGTGGAAGTTGGCCTATTTACTCAATTTATTTTTTTGTGGTTTATTTACTTAAAAACACTTTTTACTTAGTCTATTTATACAAAGGGCCCATTGAAAATTGACATTTCAACGTACAATATGAAATTTCTGTTTCCAGCTAAGGGGGAAAAAAGTACTCTTTTTATTTTTATTTTTTTGTTTTTGTTTTTGGGGACATGAAATAAATTTTTTTTTCAGGTTTAGAAAGTCCCTACTTTTAATTGATAGGAGTTTTTCTGGTAGTGGTAGTTTTAGTTTTTATTATTGAATTTGATTAAAATTATATTAAAATAAAAAATATATATATAATAAATTTTGATATATATCTAATAACTAAAAAATAAAAAAATATTAATAGTCTATATTTTTAAGAAGTATTCGAAAAACTCTCTAAATTAATAACTTTCTTTCCTTTTTTCTCTGAAAAGGAGAAGGGAAAATTTGAAAAGGGATTTTTTTTGGCTAGTTAATTGAAAAAGGAATTTTGAAGGATTTATTGGGTCCATTTCTTTTTACAAAGCTTACCTTGTTAAATTCTTTTAATCTTAAAAGATGAGAGAGAGAAAAAAATATTTAACAAAATAAATAGTATATTAAATAATAATTTTGATCCTAATAAATAGAATATTAAAAATAATTTATTCTAGATAATATTAACAAATAACAGTCTTGAAACTTTTATTATTATTATTATTTTTTTGCTGCGATGAGACTAATTGGAGTAAATACTTTTGTTTCTAAAAGTAATTCTACTAATAAAAAATTTGATAATAAAATAATTTATTAAAAAGAGTGTATTCACCAAGATTTGAATTATAACGGTTTTATTTTTTAAATAAATTAGAAGTCATAGATCCTAAACTATATAAAAAAATTACTAAAATAAAAAGAAAATAGTGATACATGTACCTTTGTCTTCTCCATCACCGATCTGCAAAATTCTCTATATCTCATCTATCTCTCTTCTCGCGATTTATCTCTCTCCTCACTCTTAGGCCCCGTTCATTTCACCGATTCGAATTTAGAATTCGAGTTTTGCTACAGTAAAAAGCTCTCAGAAACAATCACATCTAACTTTTTTACTACAGTAAAAAGCTCTTACATAAAATCACATCTCAACTCGAATTAAAAATTCGAATCAACGAACAAAACGGGCCCTAAGTCTATCTCTCTTCTCGCTCACTGCTCTTGTTCTCAACGCCGAAAACGGCAAGAAAATCACCATGATGACGAGAAATTGCGAAGCTGAGGAGAACAACAAAGCTTCGGTGACGCAAAAGAGTTCATGACAGTAGTTCGCGAAGGAAAAGAACTCAAGATTGTCAACCAATAGGGATTCAAGCATTCTTTTTGGCGACAAGGACCACAATAACATCGACGAATCACGATTTCCAAAGGCACAATGGATGATCTTGGACTGCAATGAATCACAAACTCCATAAGATGACAATGATTCTTCTAGTAGCGGCAGCGGCGGTGTGGTAGATTTATGACATGTTTATTCATCCGTAATCAGAATAAACATCAAAATAAGTTATTTATTTAAGTTTCAGGAATAAAAATCAGACTCAATCTTAATCTTATTCATGCGTTTACTTACACTCATAATTAAAAAAAAATTGTTATAAATTTACGTACCTACCCTTTTAGTAGATTTTTATGTGTTAGAACTTTAAAAAAAATTGTATATTATACTAACTATTTTAATATTAGAATAACTGACTAGTAATTAGATATTTTTAATCACACCTAATTAATCATCTACGTTATTTTTCTCAATAAATTTTAACTCAATTTCAAGAAAAGAATATGATGATGAAATAAAATAAGAACAAAATAACTAAGTTTTAAGTCATAAACTTTCAAAAAGAAGTTCCGAGTCATAAATCGAAAAATAGATCCTAAGCAT